CACATATGTTAATTGAAATCTAACGAACTTTTCTATACACCTGCACGCAGACGTAAGTGTACTTTGCATAACATTGAACCGCCGTCAATCCTGTTTAGTTGTTTATTATTGAGCAATAAGTGAATTATATATAGCAAGAAACGGAAAACATAACAATCCGCAAAGAAAAATAAAGAAAACGCTCGTATTCGTCATACTAGTATATGTATACACGGTGTCTATACCCACACAACGTATATATGAGCCGCGCCATGACAAAATGCGACCCATTATGTTGGTTTTGTCATGGCACGACTCATATAATAATTATTTAAGTCGAACACGATGACATTTTCTTTATTCAGTCATACCATTACAATAAAAAAGCGTGTGCTAGATTAAATTATTCAAGATGAGAAACTGTTTTATCTAGTCTGGAACTCCCAGATCTAGTTCAAATCTGCAAAGGTGACTGTAGTATTTACATATGTAATTTTTTATACATTTTCAAAATTTTCATGAAAATTGGCATGATACTTGAGTCATGCTGCTTGAAACAATGTGATGTTTTGCGCAGGTGAAAGTTAAACATATAAAGATTAAGCACAATGAATTTGGATTTCTTGAAAGTTATCAAACATATTTGAATAGTATTTCTCTTCTTTTTTTGAAACACTGAATTTCATATGCCACATTTTTAATTGCCATATTTTATTGCTAATATATACATGTAAATATACAGAGAAACAAATTGATTTCGAAATAATAAGTAGCAAAAGAGCTTGGCCAAAGTTCTTACAAAATTAGCGGTCGGGCCTCCCTTTTTTAAAATAATTTTGGCTTATTTGTATATACTCTATTTTACTAGCTATATTTTTCAATCTGTGTACTTCTCCACTTCTCCTATTCTTTTATACTTCCTTGGTGTGGCATCAATGTCCTGAACATGTACATAATCGGCTTTTCTCCACTAGTGTGGCGTCTGAGTTGCATGTACTTCCCTTGGTTTCTTTTATTGGCGACGCCGGTGAGCGGCGTCGTCTATTATGGAACGCTTTTTATTTTTGCCTATGGAAGGAGCTGTTATTATTAGCAGTTAATTTCATGTTGTGTTAATTAGTTTTATTTTGATTCGTAAAAATCAAGTAAACAAATGTGTTATTATATTTGTATTTAATAACTTTTTATAAAAAGCATGTGCATTGTGATATTATTTTCACGAAATTTCAGGTTAAGTTTAACAGCTTGTCCCTTAGTTTTAATGACAATACTAAAACCCGGATTTCGAATATCGTTGTGGTCTAGATTGAGGCCGTATCAGTTCATTCATTCATTTATACATTTTCAAAATTTTCCTACAAGAAGAAAGTTCACCTGCAATTGAGTATAAGGATAGGTAATGGAACTGTTGTAAACGATTATCCTATTGATTTTATCCTTATTACATTTATCTGTTGCGCAGAATGGTTGTTTTTACAAAGTGTACCAGTATCCGGATGTTGAAAGCTATCCGATTTTCTGCAATTACTGCTGACACATGGCCATCTATTTTTTTATGAATACATTACCATTAATTTGCATGGCTTGATAAAATTGAACCTGCAGCATTTCATAATTTTGCTGTTTAGGGTGTTCTTTTGGGTTTCAGGTTTTCTTTATTTTAAGGGGAAGTAACTCATGTTTACTAAATTATTTGTTCTTTTCTGTCTATCTTAGGTATTACTTATAATACTATTTTTGTTGTATATAATTCACCAGTTGTAAGGTCATCAAAAGCATGTTAATGTTAGGATTTCATATTTATTTAATATAAACTGGGAATTATTAATGTTATGTGCATACATGTATATCTTAGACAGTAGTATATTGATATGTTGAGACTTATATTTTCTGCATTTAAAGAGATACAGTTATGTCATTATTATTAAAGGGATGAGACTTTCATTTAAAGTTATAAATGATAAAACATGTATTGATTGAAAATGTCCTTAAACTTGGATCAAGCAATGTAATTAATAAAGTCTCAAAAAATCATATTCTGAATAGTTATTCTATTTTTTTTCTAACATGTGCATAGTTTGAAAAAAAACAGCTTCGGTCTTATCTATTTGTAATGAAGAGACACCGGTCTCAACCTCCAGGTCTCCTGAGTCAACCCGACAACAGACTGTACATAGAGTAGATTGTTACTTGCCCTTGAATAAATTTGTGCACTAAATTTATAGTGGGTGATTTGTGCCACATGAAAACCAACATAGTATAAAAAGTAACTGGGCGCCAGATGAAAACATGAAAATACAATCTACCACAAAGTGGTTTGTTTGTTGCATTTTCATGTTTTTGCCCGGTGCCCTTGATGCAAAATACAAATCAGCCTTCGTAAAATTTCTTATGTTGGTCACAGGTTTGAGTTCTGGTCAAGCTCAAAGTTTTTCTCATCCTGTGACTGCATATAAGCATGAGTTCAATTTCCTATGCTCTGTAACATAAGAAATTCACGAACACAAATCGATATAGTGGGGAAATATGTTGTGGTTTAGAACTGTTTCATTATTAAAGAGAAAATGTGTAGCAGGCCGGATAGCTCAGTTGGTCTCCTGAAAGTCATGGGTTCGAGTCATGGTCAGGCAGTTTCAGTCAGGGTTTAGAAGTGGTTTTTCAACTGACACATGTTTGATTCATTTAACAGATTGCATTATTTGAAATGGACAAAGGCAGTATTGCATGATACTTTTAGATCTACAAAGGGCATTTGATACAGTTGAACACACTATACTGCACATCTGGGATGAAGAAGTTGTTTTTCTTCTTCTTCATGAAACTTCAAGCATCTGCCATATATAATGACATTCTTACATGGTTTAAGTCTTATCTCTGATAGTAGCTGGTTGATGTGGCTGGTACTCATTCTACTACTGCTCTGGGAGTACCTATGCTGTCCCCCTGATGTTCATTTTAGGTCCTCTTTTATGTCTAATATATGTCAATTACATGTCTTCAACCCTAAGCAATAAGCTTTTATTATAATGCACAGGCACGAGTATCAGACCTTGGAAGAAAAAATATGGCCAGATTGATAAAAAAAACCTGTGTTCATCTTAAAAGTGTCAACAACCAAAATAAAATGTAAATAATGACCCCCTTTAAAAATATACTTCAAGTTGATAGTATATTTTTAAAGGGGATCATTATTTACATTTTTTGTTTTGGTTTTTATAAACACAGTTTTTTTATCAATCTGGTCATCTGGTCATATTTTTTCTTCCCAGGTCCGATACTCGTGCCAGTGATTATATGCTGATGACTCAGGAATCCTTGTGTCTCATAAATAAATCTGAAGAAATTCTTTCTTATAGCATAAGTCTTATAAGATTGCTTAATTGACTATAAATTGTCTTTGCATCTTGGCAAGACAGAGTCTATTCTTCTTTGGTTTAAGTTTCAACTTAAACTGGCCCTAGCCTCCAGGTCACATGTAATATATAAAGTACACATCTTTTGTTAAGTATTTAGGTGCAAATCTGGATCAAATTCTTTTGGCGTCGCCCTTTGATGCTTTGCATCAATGATTTTCTTGTATTACATTTTACAGTTCAATTTACACTTCCCTGCACATGTTCTGTTTTATACTCACGCATATTTCACTGGCGTAGCGCTCCCTATTCTGATTCCTTCGCTATCCTTCCAGCAAAGCATTCTAGAAGAGAAATATCTACTCAGTACAGGGCTGCATCATTGACGCATTTATAATTTAATTTACATACACATTTTGCTGCGTGACAATACACCTTTTACAATTTGAAATCATTATAACACAAGCAGAAGATAATGCCGTACATTTTAAATTTTTGTCCTACTATCAAAGCCGTTGGTTATTAATCTAAATTCACTAACGTAACACCAAACTTTTGTTTTTATTTTTCAAAAGTCTTAATTAAATCTGTGTAGTCTTATAGCCCATTGGTGATAAGGATATTACATATTCATAATCTTTAAATACAAACACATGTTACCCTAACTACAAATTGAAAAAAAATCATTTCTGGAACTTAAACACAACACTAAAGTGAAAAATAGGATGGCCGAATGTTTAATTTTCTACAGTAAAAAGAAGTTACCTAATGCCTGTAAGTGCAAATTGTGCATGGAGTGCACGTGCTCTTTTACAATTTAATATACATGTGTGCAGTCAGTGCAGGTTACGTTATTCAAACTCGATAAAACTAAATGCACAGGTGTATCAAATACATTATCTACATAATCAAAATTGGCTGTGGTTTAATATTTAGTAATAACATACATTTATTTAAGTAACACATAATATTATATATACATGTAGACTACACCACAAATAACTTTGTGGTCTTCTAAACAATATCTGAAAACCCACACGAACTTAAAACAACATCATCAAACATTAACAGTCAAAATAACAAACTTGACAAACGCTCCTTTTAGTTATAAGATGTATCTTTCATACAATTTTCATTTGTACAAATCATTAAAAAAATCCAATACATTATCTATATAATCAATATAATAATAATTGATATGTTGTTGAAGTCTGGTCACGAAATTCACATCAGTATTGTTATATTTTTCTTGTCCTTCGGGATAAATTTTAAGTGTTGAAAAATTGAGTACCGCTCGAGCCGGTGCTAGGGGGCCTGAGGAATGTTGCACGTTTTCATTATCGCTCGTGTACAGACTCAATCAAACCGAGCCTGCAATTTTCATGCAATTTTGTTGTGATTAATACTTCTGAGTGATCACCCTTAATTCTTCCAGATTTTAATGAAGATATTTATTTAATCTGAAGAATATGTTTTTTTATATTAAAAGACACGCTATATATTTAGACACCATTTTAATAAAATGGTTAATAGATACATGATGGAGCTTTATATTCTGTTGACAGTTTCAAACATCCATTTAAACTCAATTAATCATCCATCCAATCAATTTTGATAAATTCTGTTTTATTGTTGGTGAGTTCGTAGTGTATATTAGCAAAAGATCATGTGATATCTTAAAATAGAGCAGATAGTCAAAATGGCGGACGGGTATACAATTTCGTAGAGAATTAGGTATCGTTTTAATTCACGTTTATACGTTGGCTGTGAATCAAACTGACATGCGGATTTATAATAAGTTAATCATTGGGAAAAAATAATGAGAGTATACAAAAATATCCAGAGATAGATATCCTAAAACCGTTAGGAAGTCAAAATATTTTTGTTCTGGGTTGGTCCTGTTCCTGGTTATTGCATAACTCATAAGACGTTTCCGTTAGTACTATGTGCACTCCATGACTCCAACGTCTTATCGACTCCTTCATAAGTTCCTTTAGCAAAACGCACAGCGATTTTGTAGCAATACTTAAAATGTTATTTTAATAAAAAAAAACAACAACAACAACACGGAAACATGAGATAAACCTTTTTGCATAATATGTGCAACAAAAGAAATAAAATATGACTCACCTTCGAATGCAACCATATCTAATCCAATACAATCCTTTTCATTTCACCGCTATATACATTCAGCTATGTTACCTGTGTACCTGTGGTTATTACAAATCCTAATATACTGTAAACAAAACTAATTTCTCTTTAATTTTTTGTTGTTTATACAAAATAAGAAGTGCAAAGTAATGATTCTTGTGCACTGCACTTCGAGTCATTGATAGAAGCAGGCATATCAAGTTTGGAGTCAATCCGACCAATAGTGACATGTCTGAGTTAACTCAAACAATAAGAAGTGCAGAGTAACAATTATTGTGCACTGCAATTCTCGTCATTGAAAGGAGCATGCATACCAAATTTGAAGCTTGTCCAAACTATAGTGACTAAGTTATGCTCGGGACAAACCTAAGGGGACCCCCCCCCCACACTGTGCCTCCCTCACCACTGACAAAAAGTAACCCCAGAGATCTGCCAAGAATTTGAAAGTACTGGGCCCTGGGCCCACTTGGTCTGAAAATGATGGGCCATTTTTACCAAAGTATGGGCCTTGGGAAAATAAGTAAACATTGACCAAAATAACTGTTAAAAAGTGTGTAGATAATTGAATTTCCCCGGTAATAAAACTTACATAATATTTTATGACAAGTGGTTCACTTATAATTCAGTACTTTACCAATAATTAAAAATTATGCCTACATGGTAACTTTCTAACTAATATTAATTGCAGGCAAAAATTAAAATATTTTTAGCTCGACTATTCGATAAGAATAAGTAGAGCTATTGCAGTCACCCGAGCGTCGGCGTCGGCGTAACCACTTATGTTAAAGTTTTTGTAATAGTTCAAATATTTTCAAAGTCCATAGACATATGGCTTTGAAACTTTGCACACTTGTTCACCATCATGACCCCAACCTGTAGACAGGAGGAGGTAACTCTATCAAGCATTTTGACAGAATTATGCCCCTTTTTCGACTTAGAATTTACGTTAAAGTTTTTGTAATAGTTCAAATATTTTCAAAGTCCATTGACATATGGCTTTGAAACTTTGCACACTTGTTCAACATCATGACCCCAACCTGTAAACAGGAGGAGTAACTCTATCAAGCATTTTGACAGAATTATGCCCCTTTTTCGACTTAGAATTTACGTTAAAGTTTTTGTAATAGTTCAAATATTTTCAAAGTCCATTGACATATGGCTTTGAAACTTTACACACTTGTTCACCATCATGACCCCAACCTGGAAACAGGAGGAGGTAACCCTATCAAGCATTTTGACAGAATAATGCCCCTTTTTCGACTTAGAATTTACGTTAAAGTTTTTGTAATACCTCAAATATTTTCAAAGTCCATTGATATATGGCTTTGAAACTTTGCACACTTGTTCACCATCATGACCCCAACCTGTAAACAGGAGGAGGTAACTCTATCAAGCATTTTGACAGAATTATGCCCCTTTTTCGACTTTGAATTTACGTTAAAGTTTTTGTAATAGTTCAAATATTTTCAAAGTCCATTGACATATGGCTTTGAAACTTTGCACACTTGTTCACCATCATGACCCCAACCTGTAAACAGGAGGAGGTAACTCTATCAAGCATTTTTTTTACCAGGAACGATGGTTAGGAAACTACCCGCCTATATGACTGAAATACTGTTGAGAAAAGGCGTAAACTGAAGCAAACAAACAAACAAACAAATTTTTTTTACTATCAAGCACTAAGAATAGTCCAGCGTTGCTGTCCTACCGACAGCTCTTGTTTAAATGGCTGCTCAAAAATTTGATATGCAAATTTATTCACATAATTGCTGGTTCTTACTTGTAATGTCTTATATTGTGCATTATCCATTTAATTGTTCCTACTTTGCACCAAATGTCCCTTACCACTGTATATTGACGAATTTTATTGCCCCTTGTATGCCTCTGTGTAGACAGCATACATCAGAGACATTTGCCGACAGACCTTTTGATCATGAAAAAAGTCATGCACAATGTTTCTCTGATTGGTTAATCACCCTGTCAAACATTCTGATGACGAAATATACATCTTTTTTTACACTTCATCAGCCAAAACTTGCGTGAACTTGAGTGACCTTAGGGTTGATCATGTTGAACACCTGTCAGATTATGCTGTAACTTACAGCATTTTCTTAAAATAGCAACACTTTTTTTTTCAGTTACCGATAATCATTTTAAATGTTAAGTAGTTGTATAATTTGTTTGTTTGTTTTATTGGATTAAATTTACGGTAGTAAAAATGAGTATCTGTGTGGGAAAGGGAGTATGAGAAGAAATGCAGTAAGTAGATAACATTGACAAAAGCTATAGAGGAATGGATAAACTCAAGAATATGCGTAATTACAGGAGCATGGGTAACATGTTGCTGTTGGTACCAGTTTTGACTGGATGACTAAATAAACCAGCAGACAGTTTTGTTTTCTTATAAGTCTGGCACAGATTTTAGATGCGCCCATGTCCCTTTGCTGCCGATTATCCTGCGCTATTCTCATTTTTTTAGCGCCAATGGCGCAAAATTGCGTCCTCGGCAGATCTCTGTAACCCATATATGCCGACTTTTTCTAGGGGACAGAAAAAGTATCCCGTTAATGGTCCGCAACTAGTACAAGGTTATTTTGATTTCATAGTAATTATGACACATGAATTCTCAAACTGATGCAGTGTCAGACCAAGCTCTACAATGTATATTGTAGGTTTTTCAAATTTTTTATATTCTTATATTGAACTCCATGAACTTTGAAATTCAAAGCAGGGCAAATTCATATTACAAATATGGCAGGTTATCGGGTAATATCAAACTGTTGATTTTATTGTCATATTTCAGATTGCAAAGATATAAACATGATGCCACCAGGAAGAACTTTGTGTGTGGTGATGTTGATATTTACCTGCAATACTTCCGCCGGGACTGAGAAACCGAACATCGTTCTTATTGTTGCTGATGACTTGGTAACCGTTAAAGTTTAAATTCAAGTTTTTTTTGGTTCCATGAAGATGTTTTTAAATGTCATTGGTCAGCACGAACTTTGTGTGCGGTGATGTTGATATTTACCTACAATGCTCCCGCAGAGACCAAATATTGCTTGTAAACTTTGGATTGATTATCGCTGATGACATGGTAACATTTCATTTTGTTGAATTTAGTAACATTTAAAGAGGCTCATTTACACTTTCTTGTGTTTTCCTGGAAATCCATAAAGATGTTTTTGAATGCTATTTAGGGATTGTGACTTACATGTATGTTGGACAGTCTTGCAGAATTCAAAAAGTTTTAAACTTATATTATATAGGTATTTCTTGTTTAAAAAAATTTTTCTGCTGAATATCGAAGATTTTTTTTTATATCCCTACATAGTTCATGTTGCTATTATTATTTGTTCTATGTACATGTATCTATGATTTAAATGTACAAATTTGTTTATTTGTATTTTAGGGCTGGAACGATGTGGGTTTCCATGGATCCGAGATTAAAACACCCAATATAGACAAGCTTGCATATGATGGCGTGATACTTAATAATTACTATGTTTCACCAATATGTACACCTACCAGAGGCAGCCTGATGACGGGACGCCACCCTATACATCTTGGTAAAGATAAAATAGAGATTTTTATGTCTTCTTTCTTCCCAAGCCGATTTGTAAAAGAATACTATAAAGTCACTCATCTATAAGTTGAATCATATTTTTTTTAATCTTGATTAAACCACACTCAAGTTAGTTTACTGACACAAACCAGTACTAGTGCCATATGGGAAAACCCATTAGGGCTCGCACCTATAGTCTCTTGGTTGAGAGGCTGACACCTTTACCAAAATGCCACAGCTCAAATATGATATGATTGGAAGTTATTCATTTAGTGTGGCCTCTTTTATTTATGATGAATTGACTGTGTTGGTGAGACGTAAAAGCCAACCAACATTTTTCCATCAGTGTCTATATGTAAAACATTTGAGCCGTGTCATGACAAAACCAACATATACAGCATGGATCCAGACCAGCCTGTGCATCAGCGCAGTCTGATCAGGATCCATACTGTTCGCTATCAGTTTCTCTACTTGTTATACGGTTTATAAGCGAAAAGCATGGATCCTGATCAGACTGCGCAGATGCGCAGACTGGTCTGGATCCATGCTGGTCGCAAACGCATAACGTTGGTTTTGTCATGACGCGGCTCATTTATTGCATGTCATAAACACTGAATATAACTGTTATTTTGCATACCAACTGTACACTGTGTTTATCAATGAAGAAGAAAACATGTAAAAATGAATAATATCATGCTAGGATGCACTGTTACATGTTTCTAAATATACATGAGTCAGGGCACCATGTAAAACAGTGGACTCCGTCACTCCAATGATGGCCCTGGTATTTTCTTTATCAAAACATAGCACTCAAATAACATCACACTCACATGTATATGTAAAAAGCATGACTTGAAAAACAAATAATGAAATACACAGTTTAAAAGTTAGAGATATACTTTTAGGCAAGAATAGGTTAATGCACCTTTTTTTTTGGCTAACTAAGTCCCTCATCTTGCGGCCTTTAAACATATCCTCATTCTTTGCAGATGTTAATGCTTAAAAAAAAGGTGCATGTACCCTATATTGCTGGCTTATGTGGCGGCATTTTGAATGCATTGCCTTATTGCAGTAATTGGTTAACTTCTATTTAATTATATAAGTGAGTAAACTTTATGAAAATTTCAAAAATGTGTGAGAAAGAGATAATAGTTACAGTACTAACTCATATGATGGCATGGTGTTTATTAACTTGTATATTGCATGTTCCATGTCCAGGGCTTCAGCATGGAGTGATTACGGCCCCGGCCCCATGGGGTTTACCCCTTAATCATACAACAATGGCTCAGCATTTGAAACATCTTGGTTATACAACACGTATTGTAGGAAAGGTAGTAACATAATATTAAAGCACAACATGAAAAGGCCTATTTCAGTTTAGTTTAGAAATTTCAAAGCATTTTACAACAGTAAATTTGCAATGACATGAATACTTTTTGGTTACATACATGTTTTTATTGCAAGGAATATTTGGCTTTTTAGCTCACCTGTCACAAAGTGACAGGGTGAGCTTTTGTGATCGCTTTTCGTCCGGCGTCCGTCCGTCGTCCGTCCGTCCGGCGTCCGTCCGTAAACTTTTGCTTTAAATGACATCTCCTCATAAACCACTGAGCCAATTTCATCCAAACTTTACAGGAATGTTTCTTTGGTGGTCACCTTTAAAAATTGTTCAAAGAATTTAATTCCATGCAGAACTCTGGTTGCCATGGCAACCGAAAGAAAAATCTTTAAATATCTTCTTTTAAACAACCGTAAGAGCTAGACCTTAGATATTTTGCATGAAACATCTTCTAATGAGTGTCTACCAAGTTTGTTCAAATAAAAGCCCTGGGGTCAAAATTGGCCCCGCCCCAGGGGGTCATTGATTTTCCCTATATGCATATAGTAAAAACTTAAAAAATCTTCTTTTAAAGAACCCAAAGAGCTAGAGCTAAGATATTTGGCATGAAACATCTTCTAGTGAGTGTCTACCAAGTTTGGACAAATAAAAGCCCTGGGGTCAAAATTGGCCCTGCCCCAGGGGGTCATAGATTTTCCCTATATGCATATAGTAAAAACTTAAAAAATCTTCAAAGAGCTAGAGCTAAGATATTTGGCATGAAACATCTTCTAGTGAGTGTCTACCAAGTTTGTTCAAATAAAAGCCCTGGGGTCAAAATTGGCCCTGCCCCAGGGGTTCATTGATTTTCCCTATATGCATATAGTAAAAACTTAAAAAATCTTCTTTTAAAGAACCCAAAGAGCTAGAGCTAAGATATTTGGCTTGAAACATCTTCTAATGAGTGTCTACCAAGTTTGTTCAAATAAAAGCCCTGGGGTCAAAATTGGCCCCGCCCCGGGGGGTCATTGATTTTCCCATTATGCATATAGTAAAAACTTAAAAAATCTTCTTTTAAAGAACCGTAAGAGCTAGAGCTTAGATATTGGGCATGAAACATCTTCTAGTGAATGTCTACCAAGTTTGTTCAAATAAAAGCCCTGGGGTCAAAATTGGCCCCGCCCCAGGGGTTCATTGATTTTCCCTATATGCATATAGTAAAAACTTAAAAAATCTTCTTTTAAAGAACCCAAAGAGCTAGAGCTAAGATATTTAGCATGAAACATGTTCTAATGGGTGTCTACCAAGTATGTTCAAATAAAAGCCCTGGGGTCAAAACTGGCCCCGCCCCGGGGGTCATTGATTTTCCTTATATGTGTATAGCAAAAACTTAAAAATCTTCTTTGAAAAAACCCAAATAGCTAGAGTTTAGATATTAAGCATGAAACATCTTTAAGTTAATATCTACAAAGTTTGTTCAAATAAAAGCCCGGGGGTCAAAACTGGCCCTGCCCCAGGGGTGTCATTGTTTTTAACTATATGTGTATAGTAAAAACTTAAAAAATCTTCTTTTAAAAAACCCAATGAGCTAGAACTTAGATGTTTAGCATGAAACATCTTCTTATGGGTGTCTACCAAGTGTGTTCAAATAAACAAATAAAAGCCCTTGGGTAAAAATTGGCCGGGGGGAAGGGGGGGCTATATACAGGTGAGCGACATCAGGGCCATCATGGCCCTCTTGTTTTACTTAGTTTTCAGTAATGATAAAATATGATAAAATAAAATGATAAACTATTTTGATATATTTGATAAATCATGTAATAGAGTATGGTTTATAAGTCAACTAGGGTGAAGACATTGGCACATTAAATATTTTTCTATGTCAGTTTGATTGAGACAATATATTTAATTTATTTTGTCTTTCACAGGGGTTTAAGCATGTTCAAGAGCGGGTTTGGCATTTTACTTTATGTAGTGCCATTAGTCAAATTTATGCTTGATATTCACTTAAAAAGATGTCTTAATATTCAGACTCTACTTTATGATTAGTAACCAAATCTGTGGGGTTTTGATAAAACTCACACCCCTCCCTATAGATTCGTGCAATGAAAAGAAGTTATTTGAGGACAAAAAGTACCTGGTATAGATTCCATGAATGTTTTTTAGATAAATGCTTGCATCGACATGCTATTAATATTTTCCACACTAAATATCTTAAAATGGATTTGTCCATCTTTCATTCCGGACAAAATTATTCATTATTATATGAGAAATTTTCAAATTATTCACTGACTGAAAAACAAACAGTGAACACCATTTGAGCCGTGTCACGACAAAACCAACAAAATGAGTTTGCGACCAGCATGGATCCAGACCAGCCTGCGCACCGCGCAGTCTGATCAGGATCCATGCTGTTCGCTTACGAACCGTATAACAAGTAGAGAAAGTAATAGCGAACAGCATGGATCCTGATCAGACTGCTCGGATGCTCAGGCTGGTCTGGATCCATGCTGGTCGCAAACCCACTATGTTGGTTTTGTCGTGACGCGGCTCATTTGGAGGTGCACTGATCGCATGGATGTAATCTCTAGCTGCTAGCAGGCTAAGATAAGTTATTGAAACACTTAATTTAAAATGTTGAAATAAATCACTTATTAAAATGCCATGTGAGGCAATGCCATTTTGAACTCTTTAATTTGCTAAGAATTTTATATATAGTTTGCAAAGAATTTCAAAGTTTTCTTTGATGCATTAGCTATTCACATTCTCTCAAGAGTACTTCATATATATATACATATATTAATGAAATACATGTACGTTTATACAAAAAATAATACCGTAAATAATCAGGAACAATAAGATTTTGACAAATGAAGATGTTTTTCTATTTACTTAGTTACCATGTATAGTAATTGTTTCATTATTTGTCAAACTTGGAAATGGAGGATATTTTTTTTTTAGAATTCTTGTATTCCTTTCTGGAGAATTCTATCTAAGAATTGTATAGAAAAGTGAAAGTTTAAAAAAAAAAGCTATGTAAGGAAAGAATGGATCAAATCTGAGTCTGTGACATTCTTATTTTGGTCATTCCACTACAAGAAACATAGCGTTTTACATAAAATAAAAAATAAATTGAAGTAGGCCTGTGTTGATGCTTTTGTTAATTAGTCTTACTATAGTAGTCATATTTCTGCATAATATAGTAGTCCTACTAATGCGTAATATCACTTTATTTTGTTGTTAACATTATGTTCTGTGTTATAGTTTTAAATATAGACTGTATTAATAGAATCACTCTGTCAGGTGACAAGTTAACCAGTTAACCAGTTTGATGCCCAGTTAACAATTTTAACCATTCAGGTGACCAGTCTCATATAGCCAACAATTTGATTGGCTGGTGGTAAATCTTAATTGAGAACAATTTTGGTGTTGATAGGTGATATTAAGTTCTTTTATTGCTGACAAGTTTTATCAGTCATGTGATACTGGGGCCAGTTACATCAAGAGACATGCATCTGTTTTTATTGTATGCTATAATTTCAGAATTTCCATGCTGCCAACTAAAACTATAACAACATATTTCTGTTTGAATTAAATGTAGTTTTGTGCCACATTCCCTGGTTTGGGGATATGAGAATTATATCCAAGCACTGAATGGATATCAAACAAGAAAAACAAAATTAATTAGAAACATTAAAAAAATGATTACAGTTATTGTAAACCAGTTTCTGAATCTTGCTTTTTGATTGGGTGATTTACTCTTGAATTTTGAATCGACCAATGAAATTGTTTTATTCATTGTGAGACTGGTTCCCTTTTTTTCACCTCTCAGGCACCTTTATAATCATACAAATCATTAGCACAGTTTATGTATGTAGTTTTTTGTTATAACTCATTGCTTCATATACATGTACTTTTGAGCACTTCCTTTATTTCACATAAATCATGCACACAATTATATCACGGATTTATATTACAGGGATCGGACACTCCCAGTTAACCCTATATAAATGCTTAAATATCTTGTCGTGCACCCGATAAAGGTACATCGATCGATAATTTACCAAAGCGTAAATGCCCGTTCGCAATGGATACCTACTTTACAAAATACCATACAGCTTTTCCATTTATTATCCGATTTTGGAAATTTAAAGTTTATTTTGAAGAAAAATACTTGTTTAATTCAAATATCTAATTTATTTTTTAAAGGTACAGTTTATCTGTCCGCAACAACGATTAAAAAATTAACTTGACGAAATCCGCGGTAAATTTACATTTTTATATAAAAAGCAGGTATTTGAAATTTATTAGTACTGTACCAACAAAATTCAATTTCAAAATAATAAAGAAGCCGATGTAAGTTATTCATAGATGATTCAAGATGCAATATTTAAGATGTATTGGGTTATGTAGTCAAATTTATTAACGCACAATTGTTTTACGGGTAATGTATTGCTGCCTTTACAATTCGCTCAACACGTGAAGAAAATTGATTCATTTTTTTAGTACAAAATATGGCCGAGATTGTCAATATTGCCATATTCATAGAATATTCAAATTTTATTCATCATTTATATCATTATTATTTTTTGTAAATCTGTTTTCAAATGTCGGTGCAGTGAAGTACACAATCATAGTAACAGTAAAGTGTGGCTGTCTCGATTCCGGCCTCGTATATTTTAATCCGTATTTTTTAATTATTCTTTTTATTTGAATGCCTGTTGAAAGATAATTCTGATACTTTTTAATGTTACGCTAGAAAAACAATAAAAATCTTTACAGTTTGAGTCAGGATTTTGCGGAATAAAAGTAACTTTTGATTATTTTTTACACATCGCTTAAATTTCTTTCAAGTTTAATTACTTGAAGTGGGGTAATTACCAGGTAACAAGTGATTATTGAAAAAGTTTATTTTCAAACTTTCATTACCAGGTTACATGTGATAATTGCAACACTCAATTTTCAAAAACAAATAGAATTTGAATGTATATTTTGTTTGTGCGCGGTCTTTAACTTCAGTCCATGGCATGTGTGGTAAGAAAACGATTCTGAAGAGGATATATATAAATACAATGTAAATCTATTTTCTTTATTAACATTTATAAATGCAATTGAAAATAAATAACTCAATTTGTATAGTCCTTTCTTTGAAAAATAATGAAAATAAACATATGACAAATAAATCATTTGACGTGAATTGCGAAGGATAACTATGAAAAAAAATCTGTTTCAGAATAAAAAATAATATTATAAAACAGCTGTTCTGTATGCCAATAAAAGTTTCTTCCTTGCCAATCTTATGAATTCATCTATGTATGAACGCTTGTCTAGATTGATCTGAAAATATATTTAATACAATAATAAGTAGAATATTTACTATATTTATACTAATATACAGGTAATTCAAAGAAACAATGTACAAATCATTTGAAAAAAATTCACAGAAATAAAGACAAATTTCAAACATTAATTTCTTTAAAAGTATTTGAGCAATCAAGAAACATTTGTTTTCAATGCCACCATTAAACCATGTAAAAAATATTTATCTTAATCTGAATCGCGGTTATAATTTATGCTTGAAGTAAAAGTGCATCAAAATGTAGAGAGTATGCCTAAACAATAGGCGAATATTTTTTTAAATAGGTACTTTTTTACTAAGCGTTGCAGCGTTCTATCGGCATATTTTCATTTTTTAATACTTTAGCGCGTAAAATAATACTGTATCGATACATTCATATGTGTATAATTTTTCACAAAGCTGCAATTACACCACATACTCTAGTGAAAATCTGTCATATTTCGCACTCCGAGCGTGCCGCCATCTCATTCTGTCCACCTTTATCCGATTCCGCGCATGCGCGCGACGGGACTTTAAGCTAAACGAAAGTGTCCGATCCTTGTAATATAAATCCGTGATTATATGTAGTTTATTGTTATCTCATTGCTTCACTTCCTTCCTTTCATAGACTAACATAGTTAGAACTGAATATACATGTATTAATTTACCAGGCCTCCAACATTATGTGATATCTGCACCTGAACCATGGGGACTGCCCTTGAACCATACAACCATGGCACAACATCTCAAAAGTCTTGGATATGCCACCCATATTGTTGGAAAGGTACAATGTTAGTAAGACAACTAGTTTATAAGTCTGGTTTTATTTTAAGCTCGACTATTCAATGCATGCAATAATTATATTAATGTCTAAAAATGAAATACAAAAAAATGATTGGTTTGAATTGTTTGAGGTTTTTTTTTGTTGTACATAAAGGAGAAGAAAAATTGCCAAGAAGTGCTAAGTATTACCGGTACATATATATGGGCAGTTTGGAAGTTTCATATCTTATAAAAGGGAAAAAGATATGGTTGTTTGCTTTTGGATTTTATGTTTTTTAATTAGGATAATTTTTTAGAAGAGAAAGGCCTGTATAAATGAACATCCTAAAATAAAACTGTAAAATAGTGAGCTTAACAGTGGGCAAAATACAGTCAAATTTTGTCTGTAAAGACCAGTTTTACAAAATGGGAAAAGGGATTTTTCACAGGTGGTCCCCTATTAATAGGTTTTGTTGCTTTATAATTGATTTCAATGAGAAATTAACATCATTTAATTAGCTTTGGTGATGTGGCTGTCAATAATGATGCTTTTTTTTGTTGAAAGTTTTTTCTTTCACACCCGTTGCTGGTACTTTTAACTAACATAACTCTTTTGAAGCATATTTTTTAACACTTGCGCAGCTGTTTGAATAGAACATAAGAAAAGTTTTTTTGTCTAATGCTTTTGTAGCTTATTTGTACATGTATATCACTTGCTAATTTAATATTCATATGTATCTAGGAATTGTTTGTTAATCTTTATAATTATACAGGTCTCATATTAACCTTATATATGGCGCTAAATAATTTAAATGAACTTGTCTGTCTTTCAATCTGGACTAATGTCCATTTTTCATTCTGGACTAAAACAATGATCATTTTTAGTGAAAACTCTAAAATAAGAACCAACTGAATAGCTAACAGTGCAGACCATGATCAGGCAGCACATTGTTGCCAGCTGATCTTGGTCTGCAGTGATTTCATTGGTATAACCCATTGCTGCCACCAGGTTAAGACTTTATTCTGTTTCCATAGATACAAATGCAAGTTTAAAATCACTTTAAAGTTTTATGGAAATACATTAACTTTATTGTTATTCGTAGAAACGTTTAACTTTTTGAAAGAAACACCTGGTATGACATTTATATATTTTCAATGACAGTGGCACCTTGGTTTCTTCCGCACTGAGTATTTGCCGACAACTCGTGGGTTTGACTCCCACTTTGGTTATTGGGGTGGTAAAGAGGACTACTATGACCATCTAGAATTTGATGTAAGTTTTTGACTATTCCAAATATGATGTAAGGTATGATGTAAAGTATGATGTAAAATGTTTTTTGAAAATGAGAAAAAAGATCAACAAAGCAAGGGGATGTTCACAGAATGCAATCAATCCCCATCATAGCCAAGCCACAATGGCGGGGCACACAAGACATGGTAAGTTCTTGACTTCCTAAATTTGATGTACGTTTTGACTGAATTTGATGTAGGTTTTTTACTGTCCTTAATTTGATGGTAGAACTTGACTATCTTGAATTTGATGTAACTTTTTCAACATCTAAAATATGACTGTCTAGAATTTAATGAAAGTAACTGATAATTCAGAATTTTGTTAAAAGGATTTGATCGTCATTGAATCAATGTAAGTTTATACCCTGTAGAATTTGTTTTAGGATTTTGTCAACCCAGTGTTTAATGTTAGATTTTGAACATGAAGAATTTGATCATTTTAAAATGATGCGGCTGTCATTATGGCTAAGGGCCATATACAGGTATAGTCATTTTCAATCTTTAATGATGGAGGAAGACTTATGATGTTCTTTAGCAGAACCATCAACCATTCTGTGTAAGTATTACTATAGAACATCAAATTAAGGGGCAAAAATGATATAATATCCCTTACGGAATTCACTTATAAGTCACTTATAGGCTATTTTATATGTAGATTATACTTCACTTAGTCAATTCACCTATAAGTCAAGTATATGTATTTTAAATGCAAATTAGATGTAAGTGCAGTATATGTCTGGCATTTTGACATATAAGTGAAGTATAAGTTATATATAAGTCACAAATATGTGACATGTAAGTCAAAGATATGCTCAACTTATAAGTAACATATAAGTGACTTATATGTTACATATAAGTGACTTAATATAAGTCACTTATAAGTAACATATAAGTCACATGTAAGTCGCATATATGTTGCTTGATGTCAAAAAAGCTTGAAATAAAATAAAAGTTTAGTAATTTAATTTCAAAAATGTTTATTAATTTATATTCATAGTCATATAAATGAGCAAAATACAAAATTCAACATACATATCCTTCAGTTCAATCATCTTACATTCACTAGTACAAAAACAATATTAATTTCTAGCAGCAAGTTTTTGTTTTTTACTGGTTTTCTTGGAATCAAACACTTTATTTATACAATTATTTTGCTGGAAGTCTGTCGGTAAGGAACTGTTCAAATCATAAATTTGATCAAATGTTTCTGATTATTCAAACTACTATTTCTTTTATTGATGTCTGTTTCAGTGCTCTGCTTCTATTTCCTCGGAGAACTTCATGTGGCTGTGTTCACCTTTAAAGATAAAATTCATAATTAATTAAAAAAGTTGTGGAATAAATTCCGACCATTGTATATGCAGTTATATTTCATATTTTTTATATCATCAAACTATATTAGCTATTTATGCTATATACTAAGTTACACAGTATCTCATTTTAGTGCACAAGTCAACAGTGTTGCTTAAGAATTGCTTAAAGTCTCTATAAGAATTGATTAACTGCACTATTTGCAACAACATTTATTATGCTCTTTTCTGTGAAAGATTTAGAGCAGTAAGTATAGAGATTAAAAAAAATATACCTTTTCAGGCTCAATACTGCATATCATTATTCACCTGGCATCTCAAAGTAAGAAATGGTCCCACTAGCCTGCAATGTATGTAAAATGTAATATCAGATTTCTCCATTGAAAACAACAATAAAATGATTATGATTTATTCAGCTGCATAAAACTACTGATTGTACTATTTAGTTCTAAAAATTCAATTAATTTAACTATTAAATCTAGATTTAAATCAATTACAAGTATTAGTAGTAAATCTAATGTATGAAGCTTAGAAATAAAAACAGCCTTGATCTCTCAAGTTACAAATTTTAGTTTGCTGCCATCTTACTTTGATTGTTTAATATATAACCTGTATCAATTCTGCATAAATGTAACTCAAAGGTATTTACCTGATTTTGTTGTATTATCTTCTTGTCCAAGGTGATTCTTCTTGTCATTCTTATTTACCATTACTATACTTAAACATCTTAAACAAAACAATATCTCTAAAATTCCTAAAACATCAAGTAGATTCTCTGTGATTTCCACCAGCTTGCTAACCTAAATGTTTCAGACTTACAACTGTGTACCTGGGCAGGTCCAATGTTATGTAAAACAGGGTAAATCCAAAAATCAAAGCACTCATCAGTTCTATCTTACAATCATTGAATGTGAAAAAAAATCAAATAACTAATAGATATGTAAAGTTTAAAATTCATTATACATTTTTGAAAAAGAAAATGCAATGTCCTTTTTTTACAAATTCAGGATAGGAAATGTTATCTTTCCCCAAAATAATCACATGGAACAGTCTGATTTGTAGGAATGACCAGTCAAAAAATTAGTCATGCACATATGGTGGCAAAGGCAGGTGGCCAGTTTTATCAGACCTCTTATCTATGTGGTGTATCAGTGGATGTAGAAAATATAAGCAATCTTCAGGCATATTGGTTCCTTGATTTTATATAGATTAAAAGAGCAATAGAAACTGTTTATTTCAAGCACTGTTTTTTTATTGTTTAAATATCTAAAATACACTAGGCCTAAATGTCTTAAAAATAACACTTGTATATTAAAAAAAAAATACACCTCTTTTTCTTGTTAGAATATCTTACTTCCCCGAAATTAGGTCTGTAAGAAGTACAGTTGATAAAAAACATATAGATTACAATGTCTGTTTCAAGTTAGAAAAAAAACAAGAGTAGATTTATGCCTTGGGTGACTTTTATGTGAAATATTTTCCTTGTGAGAAGAAATGACATGGAATTTCATTTCTGTCCATGGTAGCCTAGAAATCTCTGATTGAATGCCATTTCTGTCCCAATTCCGCACAGAATATGTACCAAAATTTTTTACAGGTAATATACTTAATTGATAATCATTTTTCCTATTATCTTACTTAAAAACCCCCAGCTGTGTTCAAAAATTAATAAGCAACATTTAAAAAAAAATCTTAATTGTTTGTGATTTAGGTCTAAGATTATAGTATTTTAAATTCTGAGTATTTTGATACCCATTGTATTAAAGCAAAGAATTACATATCAACTTCAATAAATTTTATCAATTTTTCTCATGTTTTTGTACTTAGTAATTTTTTCAGCTTTGCTCAGTAATAAAAAGTCTCGCAAAAAGTTTCTAAGTTTTCACTTATATCTAACATAGAAACTGGTTACTTCAAAGTTCACCAGTATAAGGCACTTATAGGTGACTTGTATGTGACTTATATGTTGGGGAAAAAATGGCCAAAAGTGACTTATATATAGCATATACCTATAACTGACTTAGACAGGTTTTTAGGTGATTTATAAGTGACTTATATGTAACTTATAGTTCTCTTATAGGTCAAGTATAAGTTGCATATAAGAAACATATAAGTCACTTAAAGTCATTTTGGTAAGGGATAACTGTCAATAATGTGTTGGATAAGAAACCAAGGTGCCACTGTAATGTATCTTTTTGAAAACAAAAATGGGATTGGAATATACATGTACATATGTGTACATGTGCTTATTCAAGGGATTTATAAGATGCAGAACATTTGCATGGAAAAATTATTTACACATAATTATCAACTTAACAGTATTTAGGTCAGAGAATGCTTCTAAAAATATGGAATTTGTAGATTTTAAGGATAGTGTGGACTCCACTTATTTGTTCCTAGCCGCATGTTATTTTAAAGATTAATAAGGCTATAAGTTCGGCAAAAACTCAGAAAACAAGACCCTGTTTGGAATAAGATTTTTTACTATATGTATTATCTTCATTTAAATAACTTGTCCAGTCAATTGTGTCCATTGTACTCAGTTTTGTGTTTAAGTGTGTTAAGGAATTTTATGTTTACCTATTTTAGGCAACAGCAAAGCTAATCATACTAAAACTCATTTAGGAAAACTATTTTGATTAAGTTTGTTAATAGCAATTTTGGGTGTAACTCTCCTAAGATCATTCATATAAAGAGAATGTCATCTTTTAACCTTTAGCCTACTTGATGTGACTGAATTTACCCATGTGACCTGTGCAGACCATGATCAGCTGGCACAATATGTCCCATCTGATCATGTTCGTGCATGATTAGCTATTCGGCCAGTACTTATTTTGAAATTTTCCCCTAAAAATTCTGTCCAGATTCTGTTTAATTAATTTTGAATGAGCAACTTGAAGATCTGAATTAAATGAAAATAGCCAATTTTAATAAGGAGTAATAAACAGTGAATTTGTTTTATTATAACAACAATCAGACTTTTTCCGAAACATTTCCTTGAAAAGTTCCTGAAAATATCATTTAGATAATTTTGGATGAGCAACTTGATAAAGTTGTAACAACACAGTTTTGTTTTTGTTTACGATATACAGTGGCACCTAGGTTTCTTTAAGGAAGAATATTTACCCATAAGACGAGGATTTGACTCACATTTCGGATATTGGACGGGAAAGGAAGACTATTATGAACACATTGAAATAACAGGAGTGAGTTGTTATTATGAAGATTGTCAGTTTAATGTTTCTGGTTTTCAGGCATTGTTATATGTTTACCTGAGTATCGACAACTTTGTTGTTATTATGAAGGACTGAAAGTGTTTTTGTTGACAAATTTATTGTTTTTGCCCATAACTTTTAAAGGGCAGACATGGGCTTGCTGATTTGTGTTTATTAGTAAGCATTTATTATATAAGAATTTTTTGTTTATTTCTATTTTAAGAAAAAATAAGGAATGGTTACAAATGATGGGGTAGTAGGAAATAAGGTCTGGCTACAAACATGAGGCCCAGGTAGGGGGTAGGTTTAGGGGAGGAAATATTAGCTGGCTAGAAAAAATTGATTGAATGCTTGACATTCCTGTACATTTGGTGAAATCCTGTCGGAAGTAAGTTTCTAAAGTTTCAGATACTAAAGCTTATTGTAAATATTAAAGACTTGTATATACCATGAACTTTCAAAAACTTAAGATAAATTTGACTATAGCTCATTGTTACTTTCCACTTACCATAAATTACATAGTAATTTACCTTTCTTTACACATAGCTGGTTTAGAAACCTGTTCCTGTCTGTTTTTTTCTCTTCAAAATGTTGACGGTTATTAATTTAAATTGACAATTTTGCATTACACTAAGTTTATATTCTTGATTGTTTTCTGAATGAACAAAATTTCAAATATAGGACATTTTTCAGTTGGGTGCACTCAGTCTAGTTCCTTAAGTCTAGTTCCTTAAAAGGTGAAAACGAAATACCGTGTAGAACATTGATATGAAACATTGACATATGACATTGAAATTTTGTACTTCATAATATGAGCCGTGTCATGACAAAACCAGCATAATAGGTTTGCGACCAGCATGGATCCAGACCAGCCTGCGCATCCGCCCAGTCTGATCAGGATCCATGCTGTTCGCTATCGGTTTCTATACTGGTTATAGAGTTTGTAAGCGAACAGCATGGATCCTGCGCAGGCTGGTCTGGATCCATGCTGGTCGCAAACCCATTATGTTGGTTTTGTCGTGACGCGGCTCATATCATCTTTATATGATGTGAAAAATCTATGATGTGTTGTAGGTGTACAAAGGGTTAGATTTCCGTCGCAATCTCGAGGTTGTCAATTACACAGCATATTCTACGGAACAGTACACAAAAGAGGCCGTGAAAATCATCAGTAACCATAACAGGTCAAAGGTATACCTATTTGTGTTCAAATTTTTTAAATGAAATCTTAAAAAGTCCTGAACATTGATAAGCCATTCTTTAAAGTTGAATGTTCTTTGTGAAACATGAGATTTAAAGGCCCATTATGCCTCAGAAATGATATCAATTATTTTTCTAAAAAACTTTTTTATTTTGGTATTTGTTGCAGTTTCAAGAGAGAAAAAATACTCATTTGCCACAATGATAAACTTTAAATCTTTTACTTCATAGCGAATGAGTATTTTGTTTACACTTTGCTACCTTTATGACACATTACTGCACATTCAGCTCAACATTTTGCAGCTGTTAAACATCTAATATGCTCCAAACATGTTAGACATTTCTAAAAAAGATGTAAAAAAAATATGGATTTTGGTGGCATAATGTGCCTTTAATATTGTATTTGTACAGGTAACTTTATAGATATGATTCTTCATATGAGCCGCGTCATGACAAAACCAACATAATGGGTTTGCGACCAGCATGGATCCAGACCAGCCTGCGCATCCGCGCAGTCTGATCAAGATCCCTGCTGTTCGCTATCAGTTTCTCTACTTGTTATAGGGTTTGTAAGCGAACAGCATGGATCCTGATCAGACTGCGCAGATGCGCAGGCTGGTCTGGATCCATGCTGGTCGCAAACCCATTATGTTGATTTTGTCATGGCGCGGCTCTTACATATATTTAGAAAGTTGATGATGAGTGTGATGTTTAACCATCAGCAAGAATAACTTTAGTACATTCACTTTAAGGTAAACATATATACAATGTTTATACATTTTTTCATGTACAACTGTTTTCCTAATGGTCTGCTACAGGAAATCAATGCTATGAATGCAACGTGGGTTTTGTTAAACAAATTGTTATCAAAAACAAAAGAAGGTATAGCGCTATAAAGGTTAAATAAAGGTTAAATAAAATTAGCAACATTTGGGTATAAGTTTTCTATAAAGGTTAAATAAAGTTAGCAACTTAGGGGCAGAAGTTTTTCATTTATTATAAAAAAAAATTATTACATAAATTCAGAGAGCAGTGGCATTAATTCTTGGACAAAGCTATAATATACATTTACAACTAAACAAAAACTGTGATACATAGAGCTCTGAGTGATAATTATTTTTGAGGTGCATTTGGATACCCATCCTTGGTTTGATTGAAAAAAACCCATAAATCTTGATATTTTAAAATGACACAAATAACATAAAAAATAGCAGTAGAAATTCTTGTAAATGCAGATTGGCAAGTTATGAAGATAAGAACAAATTTGAAATTGTATTCTTTAACTTCATATATATTTATAGATAATTATGATGAAAACACTGTTTTCTATTTCTTAAAGTATTTGTTGTCCGTGTAATTCTACATGTAAACTCAAACTCTTTAATTTTCAAAAATGGACCATTTCCAAATACAGAGCAGGGCACATCCATTGATAACACAGATTCAGGAGATTAACTAATAACCATAAGTAGACTTCCTGTTTGTACATGAGTGAATGTTAAAAGCACATTCAAAGTCTCAAAAAACAAACATGTTTTTCTTTCTCTAGGAAGGGCAGACATGATATTTATAATGTTAAAATTTTGGTTTTAGAACATGTTTCCTGCTAATCAGATACCTGAAGAAAGAATAACTGAATATAAAACTCTTTGTCATACCTGTAAATGTAACGAAAGTAGTATTTTGCAAAATATTTTAAATCATTATAACCTTACTTATTGCTAAAAAGGAGCAGAAGCAAAAGATGGTTCAGATGATTGGCCAATTAGTAACTTTTCTGTAAACCATAACAGGACAGCTTTAAAGAAATAAATGAGCAATGTGAAAAGAGTATACTTCATAATAGACTAACTCCGGGATTTAGAATATTTGGATTTTTTCCAGCTTATCTATAGATACAAACAAACTTTTACAATAAAAGCTTCAAAAATAAACAGGTTGACTATTCTATTGTGACGGGTAGTGCACCGTGAAGCTGTAATGGTAAAAGTTTGTTTGTACCTACGTATTAGCGGAAAAAAACCCACATTTACCAAGTTCCAGATAATGTTTATTATAATATGAGCCGCGTCAAGACAAAACCAGCGTAATGCGTTTGCAACCAGCATGGATCCGTGCAGTCTGATCAGGATCCATGCTGTTTGCTATCAGTTTCTCTACTTGTAATAGGGTTTGTAAGCAAACAGCATGGATCCTGTCAGACTGGGGCGAATGTGCAGGCTTTGGTTCTGGGATTCCATGCTGGTCGAAATGCATAACGTTTGGTTTGAGTTGTGACGGCTCATATATATATAATAAATATATATATCTTGGTCTATATTTTTTTTCAGCCATTATTTTCCTAGTCTATTTAGCACCAGAACAAGCAGTTCATGCAAGGTGAATGTTTAATGAACCATTTACAAGCCCCCAGGCGTAGCTTAGAACAGGATTTCCCCTATAATTGCTAGTAAAAAAAAAGGAACATTTGCAGGTACTACTTTCTTAATAGCTTTGCAATTATAAGAATATTCTTACTTTTTTACATTGAAACTTAACCTGTGTAAGGCTTTGGTTGCATGCCAATGGAAGATATTCATTTGAAACTTCACTAAAGTTTTTGCGTTTATTATGGTAGGTCATTTAAGAAGACAGATAACTTAGCTTGGATTTTCACAAAATTATCCCCCCCCCCTTTTGTGACTTTTTGGCCCTTATTTGAGCTCACTAGAGGAAAAATTGCTGATGGTGAGCCATTGTGATTACTGAGTGCCTGTCCTCCGTCGTCAGTTGTTAACATTTTTACTTCAACAACATCTCCGAACCTGCTTTGTCAATACTGATAAAATTATACAGGAAGGATCCTAAGGTCATCTATAAAAATTCATCAAATGGTTCTTGTCGGCTGAAGTAGATGACCACCATAGCTTGAATAGAAAAACATTTAAACAACATCTCCTCGGCCACTTCGTAAAATTTAATAAAACTGTACAGCAATCATCATTTTTACTTTACAAGAATTGCCCAAATGGTTTTGGTCGGTTGAACAAGGTGGCTGTCAGAGCTAAAAATAGAAATTCATCTTTAAATAACATCTCCTTCCCAGTTGCTTGAGAGATTTTGATGGAACTCTTCAGAAATGATCTTTTTTTCTAAAATTGCTCAAATGGTTTTGGTCTGCTGACCAAGATGGCCAACTGAGCTAAAAATAGAAGAAAAAAATAAATTTTACCACATCTCCTGCTCACCTACTTTAAAAAAAATGAGTTTTTTTTTTTTTTAAGAAAAAAGGGGGCCTTGGGAAAAATTATTAAAAAAATTTCTTATAATTAAATTTGGGGAAAGTAAAAAACAAAGGGGTTTTAAAAAAATTTTTGGGGAAAATGCCCTTTACTGAAAAAAATTTTGGGAAAACACCATTTTTTAAAACCTCTTTTTATAAATTTAGAAAGTCAAAAAAAACCCTTTTTAATTTTGATTTTTGAAACAAACTGTTTAAAGATTTTAAAGGGAGTCCTTTTAAACCCAAAAATTTCTTCCAAAAAGGAAACAATTTTTTTTAAAACAAATAGCTGTTAAAAAATAAAAAAAAAAATTGAAACAAATCTTTCTAAAAACCCCTTGAAAATTTTTATGATCATAAAGGGGCTTAATTTTTCATATTTTCTTTGTTTTTTCATCTTTAATTAAATATTGATTAAATCTTTTTTGATGTAGACCCCGAAAACACTGAAAGAACAATTTTTTTTCCAAAGGGGCTTCATGTCCACCTTTTTTACTGTTCAGATATGAAAACAATCATGGCCGTCTCATCTTGTTTTTATGAGTTTTGTAAATGTCTGAAATTTTACAATAATTATCAACATGGTTGTTTGTTTAAGCTTTTTACAAGAGTGTTTCAGAACAGTGAGATTTAGAAGTGATGTGTTGTCACCAGTGGCAAATAGTGTTAATATCTATTTTCCTGTTTATGAGATAAATGGAAATTTAAAGAGCATCCAATGCATGGAAAGGCTCTTTTGGTCTTTCTCCACCAGGAAAGCTGCCATATGACCTTTTATGTGTTGGTCAACTTAAAACCCTGTCAAAAAAAATGAGAGTCAGATTGGTTTCTCAGGTTGGCACTATTCTTCCCATCCATCTTTGAACCTGGTGATTCAAATCTAGTTATACTTAATTTGCTCTTTGGAGAATGTGGTCATTCCATCACCTCTACTTCTCTTTAATTTTGGTGGTGATCAGTTTTTGTTTAGTTCACCACCAGAGCTAGTTGGAAAATCTTTCTGGCTATCTGATTCTTAGAAATCTTTGCAAACATTTAAGATGAACACCTATATCCTGTTGTCTGGTGGGTTTGTGCACTTGGACGTCACTGAACATTACAGCAATAGCTGACTGTTACAGCAATAGCTGAACATAACAGCAGTAGCTGAACATTACAGCAGTAGCTGAAAATTACAGCAGTAGCTGAACATTACACAGATAGCTGAACATTACAGTAAAAGCTGGACATTACAGCAGTAGCTGAACATTACAGCAGTAACTGAACATTACATCAGTAGCTGAACATTACAGCAGTAGCTGAAAATTACAGCAGTAGCTGAACATTACAGCAGTAACTGAAAATTACAGCAGTAGCTGAACATTACAGCAGTAACTGAACATTACAGTAAAAGCTGGACATTACAGCAGTAGCTGAACATTACAGCAGTAACTGAACATTACAGCAGTAGCTGAACATTACAGCAGTAGCTGAACATTACAGCAGTAGCTGAACATTACAGCAGTAGCTGAAAATTACAGCAGTAGCTGAACATTACACAGATAGCTGAACATTACAGTAAAAGCTGGACATTACAGCAGTAGCTGAACATTACAGCAGTAACTGAACATTACAGTAAAAGCTGAACATTACAGCTGTAGCTGAACATCACAGCAATAGCTGAACATAACAGCAATAGCTGAACATTACAGCAATAGCTGAACATTACAGCAATCCCTGAACGTTACAACAGTAACTGAACATTACAGTAATAGCTGAACATTACAGCAATAGCTGAACATTACAGTAATAGCTGAACATTACAGTAATAGCTGAACATTACAGCAATAGCTGAACATTACAGTAATAGCTGAATATACAGCAATAGCTGAACATTACAGCAATAGCTGAACATCACAGCAATAGCTGAACATAACAGCAATAGCTGAACATTACAGCAATAGCTGAACATTACAGCAATCCTGAACGTTACAACAGTAACTGAACATTACAGTAATAGCTGAACATTACAGCAATAGCTGAACATTACAGTAATAGCTGAACATTACAGAAATAGCTGAACATAACAGCAGTAGCTGAACATTACAGCAATAGCTGACCATTACAGCAATAGCTGAACATTACAGCAATAGCTGAACATTACAGCAATAGCTGAACATTACAGTAGCTGAACATAACAGCAATAGCTGAACATTACAGCAGTAGCTGAACATCACAGCAATAGCTGAACATAACAGCAGTAGCTGAGCATTACAGCAATAGCTGAACATTTCAGGAATAGCTGAACATTACAGCAATAGCTGAACATAACAGCAGTAGCTGAACATTACAGCAATAGCTGACCATAACAGCAATAGCTGAACATTACAGTAATAGCTGAACATTATTGTAATAGCTGAACATTATAGCAATAGCTGAACATTACAGCAATAGCTGAACATTACAGCAATAGCTGAACATTACAGCAATAGCTGAACATTACAGCAATAGCTGAACATTACAACATTAACTGAACATTACAACAGTAAATGGACATTAACAGCAGTAAATGGACATTACAGAATAGCTGACCGTTACAGCAATAGTTGAACATTACAGCAATAGCTGAACATTACAACAATAGCTGACTGTTACAACAATAGCTGACCGTTACAACAATAGCTAATGCTAAATTTCTTAAATGGACTTGTCCATCATTTAATCTGGACAAATTTACCATACATTATTTTTAAGGAAAAATTTGAAAATAAGTATTGACTGAATAACTAACAGTGCAGAAAAACTTCTACACTAGTTATAAAGGAAGATTCAGACAAACCTCCTCAAAATACTGAATATAATAGTATAATATAAGTGTGAAAGCCTTGTGCTTTCTACAATCAAGAGATTGCTGGTTCTTGTTGCAGGCCAGGCGAAATTTCTCTTTGCCAACTGACCTTGGACATTGAATCTTATGGTCATTTGTCTCTCTCCGCTGATTTCAGAAATCATGTAGGATTAGTAGTTGGTCATTTGCTAGAAATTGGTCATTACTTGTTAGTTATCCAGGATAGCCGGTTAGATGGCTTAACCATAAAGATATGGCCATAAAAAATGTGTCAAAATCTGCACACAAAAAAACCCAAAAAAAGCAAATAACAAACTTACTGTAATCAAGTACAAATTAAATCTTGTGAAAGACTCGGAAGCATTAATCACAACTAAATTACAAGAAAATTTGCAGACTCAGTTTGTGAGAGTCTTAATCAAGAATCTTATTTATGTTTACCTCGATATTTATAAGAACTCTAATTGCTTGTTGTTTCCATCCTTTTAGCTGCATTTGGGTATAAATCTGTTGAAATAATGAAAAGAAGGCAACTTGAAGTTTTCCTACAATGGTCATATGAGTATAAAATACATTCAAACCAGCCAGTATATGTCAATTCCTGTAAATTAGATTTGAATTCAATCCTTACATGTTAACCTAGAGAAGGCTTGTAAATAAATTACACTTAGGTTTGGGAGTAACAAAATAAAATGTCATCCAGAGGAAAAAAACTGTTACAGTATTTTACGAGGGATGATATTTTTGCTGTTACAAACCTATGTGTTATATATTACCCCAAACAAATACTTCATTGGGACACTGTTTCTATAGGTTTTCATTTTTCAAATTTCAGACCTTTCCTATGAAAAAGTACTGTTTCCTATTTAACATTACAAAGGTACATTTGAATTAATAGTTTGGATAATGGGAAATTATGATAATGAAGCAATATATATACCAATCTATAATAATGGAAAAGTTTATTAGAAATTATAAGAGTCATGTGAGTGCATTGTGTGTGTGTCATTTGAATGAGGGCATTATAAATCATTACATTATTATTCTGGTCATGACATACAGTTTACTCTATAAATATATGAATAATTATTCAAAGAATAAAGCTTTGTCAATGTTAAAAAGGTGATAGGGAGCCATTCAAATGTTAAAACAAAGTTATTTATTCAAGAATCATGTTTAAATCTAGCACAGCTGATATAATAATTATGCAAATTTTTAACCATTACATATATCACTAGAGTACATTTTATTTGCACCAAAGTTTGTGTGAGTTTACATACATTTACATACATAATGCAACCTTGAATCTGAATAATTATCTAGCTAGAGTGCATTAAGTTTTAAATAGGCTTATAAGTACAGATTGACATTATTATCATAGCATGTAATATAAAGTAATGTGTCTTAGGTATGACCATGTTGCATTTGATATTTAAAACAGTTTTTTTCAAAGAATCTTTTATCAGTTTATATGTGTGTAAATTGTTTGATTTAGAGTGTCATTCTGGACCAATATTCTTCCTATTTCTTACTTAAAATCATGATCACAAAGTAGAAAAATATCGCTTTTTTGCCTATTGTAACATTTTTCATTCATTATTTTATATAAATTGGGGTGAAGAGATAAATTAGACATCTTAAATGGCAATTTGGCAGGGAAAAGTCAAGATTTTGGTATTTTATCATTCAAGCGCCTTCTCCCGGAATATTTACTCTTGTGCCCTAACACTTTTTTTTAGTCTCATTTATTGTTGCTGGATCAATGTCTTCCAAAATCTGTGCATATTAATATCATCATTTAATCATTCAGGCCTTTTCTTTATTGCAGTCATTTTTGCATTTCAGGAATGGTTGCAGCATTGGATGATTCCGTAGGGGAAGTTGCAAGAGCCTTGAGGAACAGTGGTCTCATGGACAATACTATAATTGTTTTCTCCACTGATAATGGAGGACCTGCAAATGGTTATGACGGAAATGCAGCTTGCAATTATCCACTCAGGTATTGAGGGGGAAATATAAACACATTTTATTTGCCTTCAAAGCATCTGTATGGCCTTGATTTTAAGATCTATTCTGAATTGAATAAAGTGATAAGTTCCAGGTTGTAACTTTAACATCAAATAAACTGTGGAAATACTAACCATCCATTACATATAGATAAGTCTGTTAACTTTCTTATTTAACAGAATTAAAAATGAAATTCTGGAATAAAGCCAGGCTTATTTCTGCTTTTTTTAAAGAAAAGAAATTGGGAGCTTTTGAGTTACAAAACTTTAAGGTTTGATATGGGAATTATTTGCTTTATTTAGAGTATTTAGAAGAAAAAAAATCTGTATTCAGCATTATAAATCTAATAGTTGTGCCACCATGGCCAAACGGTATAGGTTGTTGGCTTCAAGCCATGTGCCCCTCACTGTTTTGGGGTCGAATCCCACCAGAGATTTTGGATTCCTTTGTGTGAGAAAGCTATGCTGCTAGCTTACAGAACATTGGTGGTTCTACTCGATTGCCGGTTTGTGCCTGAGGGGGCACTGCACATGAGAACTTCCTCCACCAGTGAAGTTGGTGGGTTGCCCTATTACCTTAACATTGTGGTGCCTTACCCAAAATAAAAGGAGGCATGTTAATTGGTAACAGAACAAATTTGACAGGCTTCAGGGATGTGTAGGTTAGTCTGACACTGTCAGAGTGACACAGGAAAGCTGGAATTTCATATATAGTCTTCAAATTTTTAGCCCATATTACACTAATTATCTTAAATAGACTCATTCAGCTTTCATTTTGGACACAACTATTCATTTAATTGTATAGAATATTTCAAACTATTTACTGTCTGAATAACAAACAGTACAGACCATGATTATTCGGCACAGATGTGCCAGCTGGTCTTGGCCTGCATTGGTTGCATGGGTTGATATCCAGTTGCTGCCAGAACACTTAGGGTTAAGGAATATTGATTTTTTGTTGGGTTTAACGTTGCACTAACTAAGTATAGGTCAGATGGTGACTTCCCAGCTTTACTGGTGGAGAAGACCCCAGGTGCCCCTCTGTACATTAATTCAGGCACAAACGGTCACCAGAGTAGAACCACTGAATTTCCGTAAGCTATAAGGAAGATTGATGATTTATATTTGTTTTTTGTCTGAAATTGTAAAGATTATGTTGGTTAAATTTTCCTTAGCAAGTTAGGATGAATAGCATTCTTTAATGATTTTACAAGTTGAATGAGTCATTTACATGTATCCAAACACAAAGGATGAAAAAATATATTTGATTTATATGAGTTTTACCATCCATGGTGAAATATGTTTCCATTGTGTTCAAAATATTTTCTTTTTCATTAATTTATGTGGAAAAAGTGATATTTGATCCTATATGTGCTTTTTTCTGCAGCGAAAACATTGCATTTAATTAAAATAAAAGAATACATTTTAAATGTAATTAATCAAATAGTTTTGAAAAACCATTAATCATATTTTTGTATCTTTGTTACAGAGGAACTAAGAATACAATGTGGGAAGGTGGAGTACACGGCGTAGGTTTTATACATAGCCCACTGTTGGAGAAACGGCACATCAAAACTAACAACATGATGCATGTAAGCGATTGGTTACCTACGTTCTATAGTGCAGCCGGAGGGGACGTTTCAGACCTCGGACTTATTGATGGAATCGATATGTGGGAAATGTTGCGTGAAAACGGGTCGAATATCCGTAATGAGATTCTACACAACATCGATCCAAAATCAAAATTTTCTGCGATACGTGTAGGCGATTATAAACTTGTGCAGGGAGATATATCAGGAGGGAGGGACGATGGCTGGTATCCATGTGATCCACCTTTTTCTAACAACGATACCAATGAATTTGATTCATATGTGTTCAATAGTTCTTACAGGAGTGAGATATCAGTCCATCTTGTCAAGAGACACTCACCTTATACACCGTATAACATAGACTGTGGTATACCACCTGAAAATTACACTCAAAATTGTAAGCCGACAAAGTCACCATGTTTATTTCACATTCCAACAGACCCCTGTGAATATAATAATATAGCAGATGCATACCCTGCTGTAGTAGAGAATATACTAGGGCGTATTGAAGAATTATCTCGCTCGGCTGTAGATCCTGTTAACAAGCCCAATGACAAGATGGCAAATCCAGCCCTCCATGGAGGAGTTTGGGTGCCTTGGCAAGGATCAGACATTGAGGTTCATTGATGAAATATTTTCATTTTATATAGGACTGGAAATAATTCTATTAAAATACACAGGTATATTATAATCATTGCATAATAATACTTTTAACATTGATATTGTTTAAATTGAAGATAACATGTTATGATGACACAATACAGCAAGTCTGTAACGTTTTTCAAGTTTTGTAGTGATACAGTATAGTTGCCATGACAACAAGATTGGATTTAAAATATTGATTCCCCATAACAATCGTCAGGAGAAGTTTCAAACTCGTACCACATAATTGAAATATTTTCTGCATATTAATTTTTTTTTAATTCTACAAATCCTTCTACCAGTCATATGAATTAGAAATGAAATTTTTAATTTGAAATAATATATATAACGATATATATAAATATTATATGTTTGTGATTTTTACTATTTTTCATTTTATTTAACCATATATTTTCGTGAAAATTTACAAATAAACATGATCACGATTGTTACCTTACTTGAAAATTATTTTTAGTATTATTTAAGTAAATGAAGTGTTTAATATTTCTGAAAGATACATTTTTTTTCAGAGCTTTTATTACATTTTCCAAGCATTTTTGTTGTCAGCAATATTGAATATTGTTATAATTATTGAATCTCTCATATTCAAAATAGAAGTGTATAAAGTTTTCCAATTTTACTATTTTGATGTAACGTTTTTGCAAAAACATTTTGCTTTTTCAATCATACCACATTGTATAATGATTGTTTTGCTATGCAGATGTACATTATTGTTTTGAGATGAAAAGGTTTTCTCAGAAAAAATGACATGGTACAGATATGGAATCCAGACAGTTCTCATTCCGGACAATTTCCCACCCATTATTTTTGACAACCCGGACAATTCCCATCCAATTGATTTTATCAAGGTGGGCTATACATATCCCATTGTTTTTTTAAGTTATTATGGAAAAAAAATTGACTTGATAAATAAACGTTACCTTTATAAGGTTGTTTAGTTTCTAAGTAACTAGTATAATTCATTAACCTGTGGGCACAGTGTAATTAAATATCTTGAAAAAAAGTGATCTCTCGGAAGCAATAAAAACAGCAAAATTACATGAGAATTGCAGACTGTGTTTAAAGCCGTGCTGTGGGTGGCAATTAAAGATGCCACAGCACTGTCAATAAATGAAATTTACTCTTGAGTACAATAAACAAACACGTAATTACATCTTGTCTTTGATTGCAAAACCAATTATTATTTTTTCAAGAAATTTGTTTAATATCTAGATCTACTATATTTATAGAAATAATTTGCTCTGATTTGTCTTTAAGTGGAAACGATGTTCAGCCGAGACATGACCTTAGTCATACTAGATCAATAAGTATTTGAGTCTTAAAATGTACAAAAAAACGGGAGTTGAATTGCATGTGATGAAAAAGCAACGGAAGGTGAATTGTCCGCTCTGTAAAATAACAATAACATGGGAAATGTCTGGGTTGTCAAAATCATGCAAAATCATTGGAATGGGAAATGTCCACGAGTGGAATTGGCCATACATATGTTATATTATACACATACATATGTTATTGATTAAACAGTGAAATTGATATGATTTTTGTATATATATCCTGTTATTACTAAGTTTTAAGGGTTTTAAATTTGATTTACAAAAACTGAGCTATACCATCAGTATAGAGCCTGGTCCGACTGCATGTTTGTACCAGCTGACCAAGCTCTCCACTCGTGGCAATGGCTTATCACTTTCGGTGCCAGCGGTATATGGGTTAATATCCTAAATTCCTTGTATAAGTAAACAGGATATGTACATGCCCCAATGCTTTAATAAGCAAATTGACATGATTTTAGGCACATGTTCTTTTAATTTAACAAACAAGACTAGTTGACATAATTTTGTAAGCAATACCTGTTGTTTACAAAAATAATCTGACATGATTTTGTATGCAAATTCTATTATTATTTCAACTCCATTGACATTATTTTAGATACATATCAAACAAATTGTGATAAATTTAGAAACATATCCTGTAAACTGACCAAAGTTATTGGCATTATTTTGATGCATATCCTTAAAAGTAAATTATAAAGGGCACAGAGATATCCTTACAAAAACTAATAAAAAACGCAAATTAATCCCTTAATGAATACATATGAGATTATGATGAAAATCATTCTTTTACTGATGTTTTTCATAATTTAACTTACTATGTAATAAAATTTCAGATAAAAGTTTATTGGTCAACAATTAGTACATTGATAAAGTTCTAAACGAGTTGAAAGGATCATTTATATGATTGATAATATTTTTTTTTTGTTTTAGAAAAAATTCTGATTAATATCTAATTATGTATCTCACACGTACCAACATAATCCATATGTAATTCTTTCCTTATATGTTGTCACGTATAATACTAAATATTATCAACATAATAATTAACTATTCAGTTCTATGTTTTCTTAAAAACCATGTTAAAATTTCTGCTACAGCTGTCAAAAGAAGTGTTTGTTAAGTATTATATAATAGCTTAAAGTTGCATAATCTTATAGTTACATTTTTGTCTCACTAGAAGATATAATATGGTTTATATTTATAATAAAGGTATACAAAACAAACTCAGACGTTCGTTTTCTGTTTATTTTATTAAGACACATCTCCTAATTTTTAGATTTCTTACACAATCAGAATAGAGTGAGTGATGCGACTGATATCGACTGATATCTTAAGTAAATCAAAAGCATTTTTTACATTGAGTAGTGGTCAAATGGGAGGAGATCCTGGAATTATTTCACTGAGGTGTTAAGGGGTGGTACCTAATAGGTCAAAAGTATGACGTGGATACCTAAGCCAATTGAAATTCTCCATGGATAGTAGAAGCTCTTTGGCAATGGGTAAAGTTTTCCAGTCGGATTTCATGCCAATAGCCGTGACAGCAAACTATACAGAGCAATCTCTTGTATACAATTGTATCATGATAGTTCATGTGTAAATTTTGGCCGACTCTTTCATGGGAAAGGTTACTACAGTATGCCAAGTTTATCTTAGCCTCTGGACATGTTGTCCAATAGAACATTTATTTTATCTCATTTATACATTCATCATTTAAATATGAGTAACGTCAGTAAAACATTTATACAGAAACTTTTGGTTTATGCGTGTTTTTTTTCTCTCTAAAAAACAACAAACAACAACAACAAAATAACTTTAATATATTTTACAGTATGTGCTGTATAGGAGTAAAATAAAAGTACAAGGGTCGTAGTCAATAGGCCGTTCTCGTTCAATTTGCCTAAAAAGCAAGAAACGTATATAGACAGTAAGTTCCTTCTATTTCCATATCATGTGTTGTATCATTATTTGGCTAACTAACACTACAGCAATTTTAACCAATTACAATGCAATAAAATGTTTGTGCAGGCAAGGCTAAAATATACAATATGAATACAGTATCATATAAAAGGTTTTTATCATTACCAGGTTTCAAAAGAACAACTGACATTTCATTTTAGATTGCATGTGGTACACATTTCATTTTAGCTTGCATGTGGTCGTTTCTTCCTGAATTTCATTTAGTGTACACCTATTTTTTAGGGTATCTTTTAAGAGTTCTTCTTTTGATTTCATATTGATTTGGTAAGCGATAAGATTGTTATATTCAGTCCCACTGACGTTCCTTTCCTCGATTCAGTGTGTGCCCACAGTATAATTCACAGTACCAGTGCACTTTTCACATTTATTTCCTAACCTCTAGTCTATTATATTCAACTCCGATTTGTTCTCTCTTCCGATTTTCACGTTGGCCTGAACTGTCATATGAACCATCTGTGTGCTTTTTGCCTCCGTCTTTTCTAACATCTAGCTTGTCATATTCAAAACGTCTTTGCTTCCCTTTGTCTGCAAAACTGTTATACACATTATCTGTGTGCATATTGCCTCTGATTTTAGCATCCAACCTATTATATTCAACATCACTTAACTCTGTTTTGTCTAGTTGATGTCCTTTAAAACTGTCATACACATTATCTGTGTACTTTGCACTTCGTTCGTTCTTTACATCTAGTTTATTGTATACAACATCATTCTCCATACTTTTACCTACTTTGCAGCTACTAAGCGTATTGTATTGTTGATTATCAGTGCCATTCATGTGCATTTGACTGCCGTTTGTTATAGTTGCACCTCTTGCAATACCGTTCAATCTAAATGGTTTATTATAGGTATTTGCAGGCGTTGTCACTTTCTTTTCGTGAGGTTCAACAACGAAATATTGGTGACACGGATGCTCCTCAGTGGACTCTAAAGTAAACGAACTCTCCTCATAGTGTTTGTCCGATTCACTTGTTCTTACAACTTGTTTTTTCGCCTTTCTGTCAATGAGGAAAACATGACTATCTATTAATTAAGAGAGTAATTAGTTTATATTTAGTTACAGCATTGATGATGTGGTAGTTTAAGAGTTCTACCACAATAAATTTCCATTAATAATAATCCTCTTTTTGAATAGAGGGCCGTGGCCCATTTTTGTGTTGTAACGGAATGAATGTATTGTTTCCTTACTGCCATAAAACTCCTATACCAAACTTCTCGGGGGATAAAAACGAGACAAAGACATAAAACCAACCAAATAGACACAATTGGAACAAATGGAACAAATTATTAAGCTAGCTGGGAAAAGAAAACAAACCCTGAAATAACTAATAAACATTTTTTTTTATCAACGAAAAAAATAAATAAAATAAATGAAAAAAGACCAACCTTAGTCTTCTTTTATATTTTACCATAATACGACATGCAATGGCAACGACGCCGATGATAAAAATAGCAATGGCTACGGCAATAAGCACTGGTACAATAGATAAAATCTTTGAACCTGTATAAAAAAATCAGATATAAGAATATCCGTTCCTATTTGATTCACATATTCTAATTTTGTCCGCTCAAAAAGTTTGGTTATTTCTTCATGTAAATCTGAATAAGAGCAACATCGAAATAGTGGTTGGCAACGAAATAGAATAATACAAAGTTGTGCTTAAAGGGACTGTTCCAATTTCACTATTTAATAAAATTGTTGAATTCAATTTTTACATTATCAAATCAAACTTTACATGGTGGAAATTCAAAAATGACTTAGGTTTCAAATTGATTTTGCTTTAACGTTCGTACATGTAAAATACTAGTATATCTTTGTTTATTTCACAAAAACTGTCAACTCATTCTGAAATACAAAGCGTATCAACCGACATGTGTAAAACTTTAGTAAATTTGCATAAATGATAGTAGCGCGATAATGTCATTGTTCATACAAAATAATGTAAAACTTTGTCTCGTAATACACTTAATAGGTATAAATCGTTAAAAACGTCAATGGAATATTGATAAAAGCATATGACACACAAGGAAACCATAGACCAAAGTTGAAACCTAACAAAGATAAAACATATAAATTGTATACTAACCTTGCAAACGTTTGTGACATAAACTTCTCCGACGATCACGTACGTTCTCAAATGTAAGTAAATATCTGCCAGATGGTTCTTTTGACAACACCCCGTATTTTATTTCCTCATTGTTCTCATCTGAAAGCAAAACCATTATATATACAAACATGGCAAATAATAAGGCAACACCTGATGTTCCTATCGTGGTAATACATTGGCAATGACATTATAAATTTTCTCACCATAATGGGATTTTCAGGTGTAATATGGATGTACTGAAGGTCAGTCGGTAATTAATTATTCGGTAAAAGCAAACCCAGACATCTTATTTTTCATTGTTTTCTTATAATGCGAATTCTGAGCTGAATAAGACAAAACGGTTTGTAAACAATTTTATGTGCTGGATATCTCTTTTTGCTGTCTGCTCGTAGAGGGTTAAAAATTGTGGCATGTAGAGCCATTCAGGTCTTGTGGACACATTTATAGCTCATGATTAAACTCATAAATTGTACGTTGGAGCATGTTCGGGTTTTAATGGGCGACCACTTACGTCAACAATATGCTCATCTTACACAACATGTAGCGTATAAGAAAAAGCACCCTCTAAAATTGAGTGCTTCCAGTAATGAAACATATGTCGAATACTAGTAGTTAAAATAATTACCATCTGTAAAGTTAAAAATAATGTTTAATTGTAATATTATTGTTGTAACCGGAGTGAACATCAGATGTCAGTACTGATTCTGTTACAATGCTGATGCTAGAAATATTTGTTGAGGATTACCGGGTACATGGTTTTACATGTATTTTGAATTTTGTTGTCGCAAAATATGAAGCACATTATATTGTGTCCAATTTTGGTTATGCTTTTCTTTTAAAATTAATATCAAAAATGGCGTTTGTCACATTATTATTGAGACTTTCATGCACATTATTGCATTCACATAGAAGTCTCGTATTAGTGCGACCACTACACAGTCATTGCTAACTTGTTAACACAATAAATATGTAAGGTGTTTTAAGTATATATTTTATGACATTGAAATATATTACTACGAACAACGAGATAGGTCCATAAACGTTTATTTACAAATTATCACTGCAGCACTTTTAACAAGCCTGTACTGAATATGTACATTTTGTAAACGTTACAACTGATACAACATTTAAAGAAAAAACTGAACAAAGATATTGTTCAGAAAATGATTAGAAAGCTTTTGATACAAGTACCTTTGTAATAGTTGTCAATTTTATAAACAATGTTTAGTCTTATCACTCCAGTCCATAAATACTCAATATCGTCGTTTTCGACAGTAACTGGGTTATTTATTGAAGCCGGCACACTTTTTATTGCAAAACAGTAATTTGCAGCGTCACTCCATGTACTCATATTGGGTATTTTCACTACCTCATGGTCTATAAATGGATAAACATGTGCTGTAGCTGAGTTTGAAGAAGAGAAAAAGTTCCAATAGCAGTTCATATAATGTACATGTAGTTAAATTACAAAGCAGCATACTTATAGAATACTTGTATTATGAATTTAATGAATGATTTCTTTTCAACCGATCCGTACACCATAGAAGTACTCAGTGACTGCATGGCCGAGTGGTCAACCTGTCGGACTATTAATCTCAGGATCGCTAGACCGCGGGTTAAGACACCGACAGCGGCAAGCAGTCGTTTCCTTCTGCAAGAAACTTTACATTTGTTCTGTATTGGTTCGTTCCAGGAAAGGATTCGAAAGTGTGTCATAAGCTTGTAGCTTCCTTGAATAAATTCTGTATAATTAAAAAAATACAATCTGTTCCAACAAGATTAATACAGTATTCTTTTAGTAATTTTCATGATACAGAAATAAGTTGATAAGCCATAGTAATATAGATCTAGTTATGATATTATAACTATTATGATAGTTCATTCTCCTATTATTTTCTCAAACGATTTCAAACGAAAACAATAAATATTAACACACTTTTCGATGTACTATTAAGACTTGCACCATGACATAATTTCAGTTTTTATTAACTAAATGGCGACACATCAGTATATTTAGAGAGCTCCTTTGGACAAATGGTAAGCACATAATCACAGATACTGATATAACCTTGAGGTACAAAAATCAACACCCTCCAATTTAAGTTGTTATAAATGAAGGTTATGTTTGCCCATACGGCAACACGAAAACGAACACGCGCGCTCGCACGCACGCACGTACGCACACCCAAACATACACACACGCACTCACAGAAAATCATTGGATAAAAAGAAAGTTTAATGAAGAAAACCGTTAAAACTTGTTTAATTGATCACCAAGTGTTAAAGTAAAAAGTATCTGGATGACAATGAGGAGTCATGATTAAACCTACCAGTGTAGCACAGATGTTTGAACGCGTGCTTGCAGTTCTTCCATATGAAATTTCTTTTTGCGAGATTAAAGGCAAGACAATGGTTTTCTTTTTCTGCCTCCAGAGTTGATTCTTTGAAACTTCTGGCCAAAACTGTATTTATAATACAAATTGCAAGTTGTTTCTTAACTTTGTTAAATGGTTTTTTTTTATTCTAATGAGAAATTACCGAAGACGACATATGCACGAGTAATACGCGGTGATTTATTTTTTATATTCTGCTCCAGGTGTTATCATGAAAAGTGTATAGGTTATCATACTTTATTCACAATCTCTATATATTCCCAAGGTTTTTAGTGAATCGATATTTATGTTAAACAACCAACATGTTCAAATGAATCTTTTATCTTCCAAATATCTTACTATTATGTATTATTAGATACTCGCATAATTTACCAGACTATTAACTGTTAAATAAAAATGGGCTATAAGTTTAATTAAAAAATCAACTTGCCGTTTTCATTAAGCTTGTATACTGACAAATATGTGTCGGTGTCATTTTCAAATCCACACACTACACCTCGAGGATACTGACATTGTGTAGTACACTTCGTTTTCATGGACGTTTTACGGAACTTGATGGATTTCTGCTTTAAACAGAAACACTAAAAAAAATCAAAACAGTTGAACACATGTACGATATATATATATATATACTTTGTTATAGCTGATCAAATAGTCTCAGTTCCTAAAACAACTAAAGTAATGGTAGGAGCAATTAGGTATTTTTTCTCCCTTTTTTAAATTTTATTATCTCTCATATGTGGATACATATCTAAATAATGAATAGCGCTGAAACAGAAAAAGAATATTTTATTTGAACGCCACTGATGGAGGTAATGGGAAGATGACTACCATTACATACGAGAAAGTCATGGATGTTGTACTTTCCATTATGTTTCATAAACAGAGTCCTGCAATTAACTTGTATTTTTGTTGTTTCATTGCTTACGAGGGATTAACCAGATTATTCCAGATTATAAAAATGTACAGGGTATCATTTAGACATAAAAGAAAACAGAACATGGAATGATTTTTTTTAACATGCACAATGCTATAGGAACCTTATTTATGAATGCATCATTTACGCTAATTAAGTCATACATGAAAATTTAAAAGATTATAACCCCATGTTACTATCTAACGATTGTGCTTTCTTACCTTAGAATTACTGACACCAAACAATTGAGAGTTTTCACATTGGCCTATGCATGCAGACGGACTACCATCAATATCTCCAGGTAGAGGCTTTGCGCCCAAACGTACTATATCATCTAAATGCATACAGTCTAAAATGATTTGCATAATTATGACATAAAACAGAAAATCTGCCCTTTACCAAAACCGTATCGAATTTTCATATGCTGCTGTAAAATACTCAAACACATTGTGCTGCTCACTGTTTCGATGTCTAATTCCAACTTTAAGAGGCATTTTTAAAATGTATCGAATTCGTTTCATTTGTATTGAGCTACACGCATTGGATTCTGTGGTAGTAATTTTCTAAGAAACATCAATAAAAAATATGCTTCATTGCGATCTTATTTTAGCTACAATAGTAGTAATTATAACAATATGTATTTAAAGAATATACAACAAACAAAAGAATATTGGCGAAGTTACCAATATATTCCAAAATCTTCATTGTCTTGTAAAAGCCTGTCCATACCCTCTCATTTTCACGCAATTCTATGTCAGATATGTCTGCATAATGTGATTCAGACGTACGGTTGATATTAGGTGTACCTAATGAACAGAGGGATGACGCGTTCAACCAGGTAGAGTTCTCAGTCGAGAGGTAGAACGAGCCTGAAATTTAAATATTTTTCATTGTTTTTAAAAATTGGTCACCTAAAAAAAAGTAAGGCAAACATTTTGTTTAGGAAAATGTATGTGAATATTTAATTGTTCGAATAAAATGATCACTCATACTTGAAGTGTATTTTTTCTTATTATTATTTGTGCATTACATACAGATTTATGTTATAATATGCATGCACTAGTATATAAACATAAAGGCTTCATATGAAGTGGAAGGTGGCTTGAAATCACCACAATCGTCCATGAACAGGCATCATTTTCAATTTTGCCTTTTTTGGCGTTCCCTAGGGATTTTGTTTTTCTGTATTTTTTATGTTGTTAAAATTAATTGCAGTTGTTTTATTACAACATCATAAAATGTTTTTTACGGATGTTTTTTCCCTTTTCATTTAAATGCCAATTATGCCTCAAAAATGTTTTTATTTTTATTTTTCAGAAGCTTTTTAATTTTAGTGTGCTTTCAAAGTGTCCAAAAAAGTTACTCACTGGCCAACTATCTGAACAATCTTTTTCATCTGTTGCATTTTGGAAATAAGTACAGTAACTGTGTATTAGTATTTTGTATGGAAGTCAAAATACTAATTTGTTTACATTTTTGCTACTTTTTATAATTAATTTCACATTTATTGCATCTTTCTTCAGGTAACAAGCATTTAACATTCTCTAAAATCATTATTTAATCATTATAAAATGCATGTAAACCCTTTCTAAAGCATTAGAAAATTTATTTGTTTCTGATGCATCATTAAGAAGCGCTTCCGTTTTTTCTCACTATACACGCATTTCAAAATTGAAATATGAATGATTTATAAAATGGAAGAATACTTACCTTGACTTAATCTGGTAAGTGTTGAAAGGAAGAATACAACTATTTTTGTGTCCTTTGGCATTGTTGTTTTACCATTCACGAACACTTCCACAAACATTTACTGAACTAAATTATATACACTATCACCCTTAAAGACCAAATCACAAATAATTTCACGTAAAGTCCGTACACTTAAACTTCTTAAAAATATGCACTCTTTATCTAAACGGAATAAATAATGATATTCTTGACTATTATCAAAAAAAGTTTAACATAATTATGTATTCTTATAAGTATCAAAGTGATGATGTTTTATTAAGCACGTAAACTGCTCTCAAGTAAGAGTTGAGTTATTGTTGCAAAAACCTAGGCAATTTTATCATCACGAGGACCGATTTACCATAGTATTGAACCAATGTTAAATTACTTATTGAGATGATAATAGAGAATCATAAAAAATCTGACAGAAAACTTAACCATTTCAAAACAAGCCAGTAAGATCACTTTGCTTTTTAGCATTACTAAATTTGAATCGTGTGGAAATCGCTTGACAATGATATAATGATGTTTAATGAAATCGTGTAACTTTTCTCAAGAGTTTTGAATCTTGAAGTTGTTTACAGGCAATTAGTAAGAAAAGTAAGGAAATAAATGCATATTTTATTAATGTGTCATAATTATACAGGATGATTATTAAAGGAGCTCAACAAAAAGCCTAAAACATAAAATTTGAACTTATAAACAAATATCAAAACTGGAACGCTTTTAATGGATAAATATGCAAAAGATAATAAACACATCAAAACAATATCACATTCAAAATCGATTTTGTTTTGCGATTCTTAACTGGTACCAGTAAGGCCCATTCATCTCATTTATTTGTTTAAAATAGTTGGTTTTAATTTTAAAAAGAAAAATATACAGAACTTTAAATTTTGATTAATCTTCATAATATTATGTATTTAAATCCCTTGTTTTGTATGTATTTTTGTACTATTGTACATTTTTTTCTTGTTGTATTGCTACTAGTCATTTTAAAAGTTAATGGGACTTTTGGCAAAAGCAGTTTGTTTGTAGTCTATGTTAAATGAAGGTCTATCCTCCAGTTAAGGCACACAAAACGTTTGCTATCGAATACGGAAATGGAAATGTCAATAATCATGCACTTAAAAGTGTAATTTCAACAGACAGCGGACATTGAGCACCTAAATGTAAAGAAAACTGTGTCAGTAATGGAGGAGGTACATGTAGCCCTAAGAAGGGTTCTGAGTGGAAAGCAAAGGGTATGCCATAATTGCGAACTTGGGACTCTTGATGCCCAGTACCCTTTCTCGTTCTACCTGCCTACTTTATAGGGCTAGTCCCAAGGAATCTGGAGCTAGTTCAAATAGTGCGAGAGTAACATAAATACATTACGCTATGTGGTAGTAGTTTGACCTCTAGGATCTGTCTTCTTTTGTACAATAATCAAAGCTAGGATCTTTACCTGTCAGTCACTGCTTTTGGTTCGAACAATGCTCCAAAACTTCTGCCCATTCCCTGTGCCTTCAACGACTTGCACATACCGAGGGGATGAGAAAGTACGGCAAAAGAAATGACATGACCATATCCGCCTTTTCATACGAAATGTGGAAAGATATCAGCTGATATGTCCAATAGACTTTTTTCACTTGTATAAATGGTGTCTTCCATGTGAAGTTACAACAATTGTTCACAGTGCTTTTTTCACTAGTCCTTAAATATGATATAACTTTGCATAATTTAACTCTTACTTCAAGTTCATGAATGGAAACGTATGATGGTAGGAACATCATTAATTCACAGATTACAGAACTTCATTTATGAAAAAAGAAGTTAAAAATGAAACATTTTGACCCGGTAATCAAACAAAATAGTTTCGTAATTTTTTTTTCTGATCTTGAAAATTTGATTGAAGTATAGTTTTTAAATGGAAAATGCAATGTTTGTAAAATATATGGTTAACGCAAAACGATAACAGTTAATGAAATTTGGGGCTCAACATTTGAAGTGAAGTACTCTTGAAATGTAAATCGAAAGAAATGCACATTTGTAGGAAGATCATGAAGGAAAACATTAAGAAAATAATATACATAACAGCTGTATAAGAGTGAGTTAAAAATCCAAATTCGGTGATAGAGTCACCTGTTCATCAGGAAACGAACTTGACTGTCTGCTTCTAGCTAAAGTTGATTGGAAACAATCAGTTATCGGAATCACTTGCAAATCTGATATTCTTGAACATGAAGCTTACAACATGAAAATCGACTCTTGGGGTATCGGCGATTCAGAGTTCTGACGGCGTTGAAATATGAAAATAGACATATACAATACTAGAATGCAAAATACAAAACCAAATACCAGTCAAATAAGCATCAGACTTTTAAAAAAGAAAAAGAAAAGACGAGAACACGACATAAACACTTTATTGGCATGGAGCTTTATCAACATCTGTAATAATAGTCTCTGGTATCAAATATTGATTAGATAATTTTAACCATGTATTGTTTAATTTACCATTAGGAATTGAATCATATTTGATGATCCCTTTCTACAACCAATTGATAACTTGATAACGTTGGTAAAATTACCCCGCCCACTCTGAAAATGTGAAAACAATGAACCATTAGAGAGGATTAATTGGTAGAGTTATATTGTAATATTTAGAAGGCCGCACCTGATTTGATACAGGTACAATCACTTACGAATATTGCATGATAGTCAAAGAATCATGATGGGTTTTATAACCAACACAATTCTTATTGAAACATTACTTAATTTATAACAAAAAACACTTTTAATAAGTTAATTTGTAAAAATAATGAAACAATTGGATAGTACCGTTGATGGTATTACATGTCTTGAATTGCTTGTCAGTTGTAGTCTTCCATCACGGTAGTAACGATTAACACTTTAAATCCTATTTCGAGGTTTAAAAAACACCTTGCTGGAAAAATCATCAAACGCGAAAAAATCTCGGTTCGACTATTTTCCAGTGTCTGAACAGTGTACCTCGAAAAGAATATGAAAACGCATTTAAAATTGGATTAAAATACTAAAACTTATCAAACGGTTGAGAGTATTTTGAAGGATTAAGATAATTATTTTGGCACTGTTTGTTAAGCACTCTGAATATTGATCATGTTGCATTCATATTTGAACACTCCTCGTATATTGCATTATATTGTAATACGCCTGTAAATATCGCAATATATCGCAATATCATTTTTCTTTACAATACCCACGCCTAATGTACACTATTGCATCTGCTATAAAAGCTAACGGTTGCAATTTTTAAAATAAATTTTAGATCACTTATACATATTTTTCTTTTTTTTTTCTTTTTTCAAGAAATCCATTTTTACTTACAAGAAAATGTTCATAACTAAATAATCGCTAAAGAAGCAGTATATTTGCACGTTAAAGAAACACAACAGGGACTCCACTGAGGTTTTTTTTGACATGACGGGACTGGAAATACCAATAATTTGTGTGAGAAATTTTTGGATACTTCGCTCACTCCGTTTTTCCAGAATAATTAATCCAATTGTGAAGCGTTGCATCGCTTTTTTTACTCAAATCGGACTAAGAATACCATAGAAATACGAGTTAAAAAATCTTTTTACCCTTTGCATCTTTCTGCTTAAAGTTCCCTTAGCTGATCTATCTTTATGAACATATTACACACACAAATGTTTTTGTGGTTTTTGTTATTTGTGTTGTTGTTGTTGTTGTTGTTTTGATCAAATGCCTGATGCAACAATGCACGTTAAAGATCGCTTCAATAATTACGTAGCAATTTACACGTAGTGAAGGGATAAATTAAATATTGTTTCAAGGGACATGTTAATATCAAATGTTTATATCAGGAAGTTAAGATGTCGGTTGTAAAGTGGTTTTAAAACGCAACTGTTCAACTATGTTCGTAAGGAGTAATTAATAAATGATGTATAAAACATCCGTTTCATCAGTTAATCAAATAAAGATATGTTTAGAGTATACGTTTAACTGACTTGATGATTTAAGTGATAATTTAAAAGAAAAATTAAACAAAACAATATGGTAGGAACTGTATCATTCTTCGTTCTTTTGTCAGTGTCATGTTGTAAAGGTAATACTATATATATTAACGTTATATAACTAAATTGATTCATTAATAATATCTATATTTTTAAGTTATATATGTTTTTTTGCAACCTGTTTTTTTTAAATAACAATTAAGGCGGTTGTTTTAGTAACATTATTATGTTTTGTATATCTTTGTTAACATGCGCAAATCAACAAAGTCACATTGCGTCACGTTTGTCACACACTGGATTTCTAACTTTCTATAAATTCGTTTTTAGTACAAAGCTTGTCAAAATACATTAACTCTAATAAATTTATGTAAATAGTAAGAAAACAAGATTGCATTTGAGAAAAATGCTATGCCATCGCATTAATACAACACTGAAGATTGTCATAATGCATAGATCCCTGACCTATCTAATTCTTATTATCAGATTAGTGGTTAAATCTATTGTTAACTCAATAAAAGATCAGAGTAGGAATATATCAATGCACTTGAGTCTAGTGAATTTGGTGGTGAAGGTACGGTGGCATAGAGGTGACATTTGCACTTTTATTTTATCTCGTGGCCACGACTTTTTATCTTGAGGCCTCAAGATATTATCTCGTGGCCACGACTTATTATCTCGTGGCCACGACTTATTATCTTGTGGCCTCAAGATATTATCTCGTGGCCACGAGTTATTAACTTGTGGCCACGACATATTATCTTGTGGCCACGACATATTATCTTGAGGCCACGAATTATTATCTCGTGGCCTCAAGATATTATCTCGTGGCCACGACTTATTATCTCGTGGCCACGACTTATTATCTTGTGGCCTCAATATATTATCTTGTGGCCACGAGTTATTATCTTGTGGCCACGACTTATTATCTCGTGGCCACGACTTATTATATTGAGGCCACAACTTACTATATTGAGGCCACGACTTATTATCTCGTGGCCACGAGTTATTATCTTGTGGCCACGACTTATTTCAGCCAATGAAAATGGTCCTTTCATCTTGAACAAAAGTTGATATCACTAAGACCTTATATCACACTTGCCACAGCTTTCACAAGAGCGGCGGGTCAAACGAAGAAGAATATTGCTAATTGTTACATAGTCCCTTTGTACATGTAAACATAAAATAAACATGTTTTGACTTCACAGATAGTTGATATGTTATGTTTAAAATTCTACACAATATAGGTGTTAACCATGAATATATGTAGTGTCATTTTTTTAAGTAAAGATTACTTGACCTGTTATAGGGAATGCAGCTTCCTGTACATAGTTTAATGATTTCTTTATTCAAGTTAGACGCATTAAGGTAGAATATCATAGATTTAAATACATTTCTGTGATTTTAATATTCAAGGATGAGCACGGTTTATCTAATGTGAAGTCAAACATGTTTATTTTATGTTTACAAAGAGACAGTGTAACAATTATCAATATTTTCTAATATCAAATTTAAGCAAAGTATATCTTAAAAGTTGAATGAAAGAAACACCTGACCATACAAAACAGAAGAAAGGGGTACACTAATAACTATAAAACGTCCCCCTTATTCATCGCTGCAGCGTTTGACCCGCCGCTCTTGTGACACTTTGGCCAGTGTAATATACGGTCGTTGTGATATTAACTTTTATTCAAGATGAAACGACCATTTTAATTGGCTGTAATAAGTCGTGGCCACAAGATAATAAGTCGTGGCCACGAAATAATAAGTCGTGGCCACAAGATAATAACTCGTGGCCACGACATAATATCTTGAGGCCACAAAATAATAAGTCGTGGCCACGAGATAATAAGTCGTGGCCACGAGATAATATCTTGAGGCCACGAGATAATAAGTCGTGGCCATAAGATAATAAGTCGTGGCCACGAGATAATAACTCGTGGCCACGAGATAATTAGTCGTGGCCACGAGATAATAAGTCGTGGCCACAAGATAATAAGTCGTGGCCACGAGTTAATATCTTGAGGCCACAAGATAATAAGTCGTGGCCACGAGATAATATCTTGAGGCCTCAAGATAATTAGTCGTGGCCACGAGATAAAATAAAACTGCAAATGTCACCTCTATGCCACCGTATGAAGGTCCTATTTCGCACAGCCTAAATTTCATGACTGCATCAAAGGACAAAATATGTAATACACTTTGTCAAAATCTAGGTCAGCTTATATCAAAGTTCACTTTTAATTTTGACACTTGAGGCAAAATTTGAACAACTTTGGTAGAGTAACTATAGATGATATAATTCAACAAATATTAAAGCTCTAAGCATTGTACCTTCAGACAATTAGATTTTTTGATTTTTTACTATATGTATATAATATTGAAAATCAATGACCCCGGGGCGGGGGCAATTTTGATCCCAGGGCTATTATTTGAACAATCTTGCTATAGGTTCACTTCACAATATTTCATGCATTATATACAACCTCTAGCATTTGTCAACTGCTAGAAATTTTTTTTAAAAGTTTTTACTATAAGTTTTTACTATGTAAATATTAGGAAAATCAATGACCGCCGGGGCGGGACCGATTTTGACCCCAGGGCTAAATAATTTGTACAATCTAGCAGACAATGCCTTATGCAAAATATCTAAGCTCTAGGCCTTTTGGGTCTTTACAAGAAGGTATTTTAAGTTTTTACTATATGTACATATAGTGAAAATCAATGACCCCCGGGGCGGGGCTGATTTTTACCCCAGGGCTATAATTTGAACAATTTTGGTAAGGGTCTACCAGACAATGCCTTATGCAAAATATCTAAGCTCTAGGCCTATAGGTCTTTACAAGAAGGTATTTTAAGTTTTTACTATATGTACATATAGTGTAAATCAATGACCCCCGGGGCGGGCCGATTTTGACCCCAGGGCTATAATTTGAACAATCTTGGTAGAGGTCTACCAGACAATGTCTTATGCAAAATATCTTAGCTCTAGGCCTTTTGGGTGTTTACCAGAAGATTTTTTTAATTTATTCTTATAATTCCTTTTGGTTGCCATGGCAACCAGATTTTTGCATGGAATTAAATTCTTTGAACAACTTTGGAAGCCCTTTACCCAAGGATCAATCCTGCCAAGTTTGGTTGAAATTGGACTAGTGGTTTTTCACAAGAAGATTTTTAAGTTCACTATATAATCTATATAACACACACACACAAACAAACAAACAAACAAACAAACACACACACAGGTGAATCGCTATATGCCATCGCAAAAACAACAACTTTTTATAGCAAGGAGTACACTTGACAAAATTGTTTTGGGGTATCATTAGTTAAAAAAGAGGGACTTTTTCTTAAAGAAGGCGGGTATAAAGGGGCCATTTAAATGAAAAGAATGTACAGGAAATTACCGAAACAAAATATGTTAAAGGTGATTTCACCCGAACAACTTGTTTTTATTCTCAAATTTAATATAAACTATGGAAATATAAGTGTTTCATAGGTATTTTTGTTTCTACATTATAAAGGTACGCTCTACATGTCCACTGGAAATTCTACTTGGTCAGGTTACAATAATGGTTGTATTCCAGCCACACCAAAAGTAAAAGTTGGTACTGACAAGAATTATTATGTTGATGAAAGTCTTGGTCTAGATTTGCCGTTCAATGACAAAGTATGGGTGGGTTATTACCAGGTTGTGAGAGTATTTGAGTACATAGGTAAGTAAAAATAATTTTATGTACGTCATTAAGTAAATATTTATATTACAACCTGTATAAGCAAGTCAGGAACGCCTTACTGAAAATATTAGTTAGCAATGTATAATTTTGAAGAAGAAAACTTAATTTGTAATTCAGTATATCTTTGTAAACATATAACGGAGTTTCTAGTTAAAAAAATTTGCAATTACAATTACGATGTCATAAATGGCTTTGCTTCTATGGTAAATGATACTTGCACTAATGAATACATAAAGATAATTGATATACTTTTGATTGGCGTTGCTGCTTTAATAATACCTTCATGTGATTATGTGGTATCTAAGAGTACTACTCAGTCAGACTTTTTTTCTCAGTTATTCTTTAGGGAAAAAAGAACCTATCCATTACATGCACTATTCTTGTTTAAATTTTTTTCATAGAATGAATAAATGGATGTGTAATATGGCTCGGCATACCATTCTTGATTCAAACTAAATATGCCATTACAAATTATATACCATGCAATATTACAATAATTGTAAAAAAGTCTGGAAATTTATACATTGCCTGTACAGGAAAGACATTATTAAAAATTTAAATTTAAAAAAAAATCTGTATAAAGATATTTCAATCATAAATAGAAGATAATGCGTAAAAAACATTTATATGAAGAAGAGACTTGTTTACAAACAGATGTTTAAGCAATTAACTATATTTTACTTCTCAAATTCAAACTCTGCTACCTACTTGTATGCCAATGGGCTTTGATTTTCAGCTTTGATATTATTTTCCGGTCAAGTAATCAAATATGTAAATCAATCTACTGCTTTAATTGTTAGTCATCTTGCTTACAAACAAACGATTGGACCGACACGTCTAGAGCATAAAGTATCTGTTAATTAATACAAATATTAAAGAAAAGACCATTTAAACAATTTACGAGATTTTTCTTTTGGCTAAACCAGTTATTTGATCCGATAATATACATGTATAGATACGTGAGCATTGTTATTTATTATATTTAATGTCTTAAGTTAATCCATTACAATAAATTAAAGTTAAGGGATTTTATATTACAAGGAAGTTCAAGAAGAACACAAATTGTTTTTTTTCCTTTTTCAAGAAATAACGATTAAACATACAATTATGATACTTTGCGGTTTTAGATGTACTCTTATCGTATCACTTTACAATAAATCTATTTTATATAAGCGATATCTTATATATTTAGGATGTGTTTCGATGGAAAGCATTCTCAACAATAAGCTACATGCCTTTGTTGAAATAAACGGTGATCCTGGACATTGTTTTCCAGGATGTGGTGATCACACTATAGTTGGCGTTACAAAAACAAAGGTAAATTTCGTTATAATTTAGGCTTGCTCTCAAGGAATTTCATGTGTCGATACATGAATATATCTTTTATTACTTTAGTATCTATATTTATTTGAGCATATGGTAAAAAATGTTTTCATATGTGTGGTAGAGATTTTTTGAATACAGTGCAACAAAAGTGATGATGTAAAACATTTTAGACTCAGTTTGATCGAGTCTGTTCATGACAGAAAATGAAAAGTTAAACATTCCTCATTCGCATTGACAGATAATAGGTAAAAACTTAAAACTAAAAGAGCTGGAATAATGATGTATTATAAATTCAGTTGGAAAATATAATAACAATTGGCGTGAACTAATTGAGATGTAAAAGTTTAAACCTAAAATACATTCACATCTATTGGTAAATTTAGTGTTAATAAATTAGTGTAATTGTTGATTAAATGGAATGTTAATAAAGAAGATTAAAAAAATTGAAATATCTTGATTTCTGATCCACTTTACATTTTTTAGAATTAGTTTAAATACATTTATCTAATTAGGACAAAATTATACTATATATTAATTAGCATATAAATGAAAAAGTATATTCTGAAGTAAATGGCCAGTCTTTGACCTGTCTATGACAATATATACCACCTATTAACAATATGTTTCAGTGTTACTGCCTGAGTTCAGACATAACGTTAACAGATCCTACACAGACCGATTGTCGTCACGAATGTAAACACCCTATTGTTTCGTGTGGTTATGATAGTACGGTTATGAATTATGCTTTCCTATCAATTTACAAAATGAACCCAAGTGGTAAGTTCCTTCGACATATCAAAGGCATTACTTAATATTATTCCATGTCACCGAGATGTATCATAGTAATATTTAGTTATATAATTTACAGATTAGTATGGTCCAGTTAAGCTGAACCATCATAAAAGTTTTCTAAAGGCTCTCTACCTAAGAATTCAGTGTTTAACAGGTCGTCTTTTGTCGCAATATAAGAATTCTTGTATATCCTTACCTGTTTATTATGCATATCCACATTCAACTACGAAAGGAAGCTAATATTCAACAATGCTTTATTTAAAGTACGTTTACGTTGAATGCCAATGACAAGATATAAATATTCTATTATCATATTTGTTTTTTTATGTTTTGATATTGTTATGCGTCACACCGACACAGTATAGGTAATATGCCGACGTTCTAGCTTTACTGGTGCAGGAAAATCTCAGGTGCCCTTCCGGCACGAACGGACACCTAAGTAGAATCACCAACGTTCCGTACGCTAGCTGGATATATTAGTCACGTGCTCCAGCTTCTCCTTATTATATTACTACTAATCAACGACTCCAAGCCTAGACAGTAACATACGATGAGACACTTAGAATAAAATTTATTTTTGGTACATTGGTTTATTTCAGTGACAGCTAGTGCAATACGCAATGCACAAAATGAGGGACATAACTGTCTCGCGTTGAATCCTGTCGCCCCAAAAAGCTTTTATTGGGAGAAATGTACCCATTTCTTAGTACCAATGTGTGCAAATGTTAAGTATATATTTAATCATTTTATAAATTATTCATTGTTTCTATTGCTTTATACTAATTGTTGTATTAATACTACTTGTTTGCAACGTCTGTTTTCACTCTAGTAACGAGACACCCATATATTTTTTTACGAAGCAACGCTTTGAAAGACGGTGACAGTCCTAACATTAATTTATATATTGCCGGTGTTATGGCCGAGCAGCTGGGAAAAATATGTCTACGAATTTTCGGTGGTGTCTAACAAACACTTTTTATGTTTGAAACTCTGGTGTTTTGAAATAACATACTTACCAGTATATACACGTATTTTGTTACGTACAGCAGCGATAGACATAGAGTTGGTATTGATCAATCGCGGCCGACTTTGCTATTTCAACAAGGTATCAATATGCTTTAAATTATTTGGTTACAATTATAGGCGATTTTTTAGTGTTTTTTTACCTTTAAAATGTGAACAAACTTTCGTCAGCTTTATGTTCCAGTTTTAAAGAATGTCTAAAGTCTGTATTTTAACCTGAGGGGTACAGCTAAAAATTCTCAGTCTTTCTCTTGATAATATTGCTAAATATATATATATATCCTTTTTGGATGAATATTTAGCAATTATATATATATTTAAAAGCATTTTATGTTCTTTCTCTATTTTGAGACTATTTTGTTCCAAATTAAAGTTTACAAGAGAACTCAACTGGAAATACATTTTCTATTGAAGTTCTTTTAATAATTATAAAACATGAGTAAATTGATTTTTTTGTATATCATTATTTGTATAGTTGACTATTTTAAGTGTACACTACTAGCTGCAAAATTATGAGGTACTTTTAATGTTGACAAAACAAATTGACTATGAATTTGTTACAAATGGATTTTGAAAAGCTAAAGTGTTGTATTTCATATCTTTGTGTAAGCAAGTTAAGTTCATTTTTATGATTTTCATGGTATTTAAAATATTGTATACAGATTGCATTCAATTTTAATCGTTTTTTATTATTATTTCATATTTATTTTTTGTTGTTTTTTTTTTCGAAAATTGAATTGAATACTTATTCGCTAAATGTACTTACAAATATCTTTCGCTTGATTTTCTTTTTCATCTCTTAAATAGGAGCTCGTGTCCAAACGTTATACCGAGAACAATACTTTACATGGATTGGTGCAGCAGATGTTTGTTTTATAAATAGAATGTTTCTAACAGATTATTCAAATGCAAAAGATGTCAACAGACACGGCGGATCTCAACTGTGGACTGCAATGTTTAAAACAAACATAGTTTACAAATACAATTCAAACATTCATGGTAATAAAACTAATTTATTTCAACTTTTATATAAACCTTTTTTTTTTCAAAAATAATACTATTAGTAAATGGAACTTTAAAACTAATCAAGAAACGTACTATAAACGTTTATTTTAATAAATAATTTTCTTTAATTTCATTTTTATGAAATTATATTTGAGGGAAACAAACACAATGTTATGAAAGTTTGTTATTGTTCTATGCTCAGTTTGCATTTGTTTAGAAGAATAATGGTGAAATGTACAAAGTATATTTGTCCGCACATATGAACAAACTACTTTAATCCGTTAATCATTTGGTAATTATACTTAAATGAAAATACTTTGCTATACATTTTTGCAGCTGAACGAAGTCAGGATAAGAAATTTTATGGTTACTTAAATGGAAATATCGAAGACGCAGTGGAATTGCAATTTACAGAATTAGATTCCAACCAAAGAAGACTCTGCGATGACGGTACAATTTAAATTTAACGTATTTTATTCAGGTGTAAATGACTATATTAAGGTATATTTAATACGTCACTTAATTATGTTTTTCTTCAGCTATTTTTGCGAAACAGTGCTCATGGAAAGCTTGTTATTTTCCAAATTCTTCGTCGCACGGGCGGGCGTCCGTCGTTAATTGTGATTTCCATTTGTTCATCGCACGTGTGGGCGTCCGTCGTTAATTGTGATTGCCATTTGTTCGTCTCAAGTGTTGGCGTCCGACGACAATTGTATTTTCCATTTGTTCGTCTCACGTGTTTGCGTCCGACGACAATTGTGATTCCCATTTGTTCGTCTCACGTGTTTGCGTTCGTCGACAATTCTGATTTCCATTTGTTCCTCGCATCTGTGGGCGTCCATCGTCAATGTATTTGTTAAACGACTTCGTATTTAAAACTACTGGGCCAAAATCAAAACTTAATAGAGGCGATTCTCTTTTTAATACTGTACAAAAAGGAATTCTAATGAGAACTCTGGTTCTAAATGTAAGACAGTTCCATGTCAAAAACTGTTGGTCAGATTTGATAACATTTCACAGATTTATTTGTTTTTATGCAAAACATGTCCACTTAGGGCATGTATGGGAGTGCAGGGAGCGGGTAAACGACGACATTTCATTACTTCGAGAAATAAAAATTAAACATGACAATGATGACACATCGCATACAGTGTGTTTTTTCTTTTGATATTAATTCACAGAAATAATCCTTAGGTGGGCGTCTACCAAAGATTATTTAAAATTATTTCAGTTATTTAAGAAAGCATGGTAGTTATAGTATTTTAATATGGTACTTTCCTGTTATGTGTGTATTGGACGACCAACATAAACCACTTTAGTTAAATATGTGGGTCAGATGTTGATATAATAGTAGGTTGTATTGGTTACTGACCACCAAGATTGCTCAATGAATAATAATAATAATAATAATAACAATGGAACAACAACAACAAAACAAAACAATGCTTTGTTTCCGTACTTCACTAAATGCGTGTTAAGAAACATTTTCAAATCTACCTATAAACTTTTTACTCTGATTTCAGGGAAAAATAGTGAAAAAGCAAAATCAACTCATTCAACATTGTCGTCTACAGAAACCAACACAACCATTTCCTCTAATGTCTCTTCCACTACCATAAATATAAACGGTAAGTTTTAAGCATCATTTTAACACTTTAAAAAATCAATAAAACGATAGTTGATAAACTAGTTTCTTAAAAAATATGATTAAGACGAAAAAACACAGTTTCCATATTCAGTAAAAATGTTTATTCAACTTTAGCATATTTAAACATACGTTCATTCAGCATTAAAAAGAGTAAGTAATGCATAAGCTTAAATACAATTATCACATACCCGTGCCGCTTTTGCGACTCCGTAAATTATTTTTTATACGACCAGCCTATATTTTGACGCAACGTGATTTGTAGTATACAAACATAGTGTGAAGACGCACTAAATGTTAGCGTTACACTAGGCGCGTAAATAAAAAATGACTCGTTTACACCTTAAACAATTAAACAACTTTTTTCAGGCGTATGTAATAAAAAGAATATTATATTCGTGTAGGTACAAATCTGAATTTATTGAACTTGTTCTATACAATAATATTATGCTCCGGAAAGGCTCGCATAATATAATTTTATTCAACTCTTTCAATAATTTCAGTATTGAACTTACACTCATATAATATAATTTATCAAATTTCAAGATCAAAAACACGTTATCACTCACATTATATGAGTTGTATGAGTTTCTGGTCAGACTGCAAGTTAGAGTGAAGCTGGCGTCCGTAATCGACTAAATTTATTGACTTCAAACCACTTGCCCTTCTCAGCCGTAGGTTCGAATGACGCGAGGAACTTTGGATTCTTTCATGTGAGGAAGCTATCTTAGGGAACAGGGATGGTTCTACTTAGTTAACGACCGTTCGTGCCTGAAATAATGCACGAACGAGCACCTGCGGATCTCTTCCACCAGTGAAGCTAAAAGGTCTCCATATGATCTCTACTTTGTTTGCGCCACGTAAAACCCAACGAAAATAAAAAAATAACACTAGAATTGCTGTTAATTGATCTAGTAGGTTTTACAAAAAAGCTGTTAGTCTCGATATGAGTGTAAATTTAGTTTTGTCTTTCATTGTAGGACAGAGTCCGTTTAGTGAATACGTTATTATTGGAGTATGTGTTTCTTTGGTTCTGTTGTCTTTGCTCATTGTGTCATTGGCATGTTTCTGCTGGCAAAGGTAAACTAGTTATTTAAATGTTATAAGAGAACGTTAATAATAAACTGAAATGATAGGAATTTGCGATTAAAAATCTTTGCTTACTAGTATCAGAAATTCGAGTTTTATGTCATATGCAAACATGTACATAATGGGTTATGAAGTGTTATGAATACTTTCGTTTTTATGCTTGTTAAAAACGTACATATGCTACAGTTTCATATAAACATAGGGAGAATGAAAAACTTTATTACAGTACTTATATTCAATTGTGCTTGATCTTAGAATATGAATAACAGAAACAAGGAAACGAGATCGTTTTTCGAGTTATATCCCATTAGAATGTGAAAATTTGGCTTGTTTCAATGGCAGATAAGTCACAGTGAAGTTTAGTAAAGCCTTATAATTTCTGCTATACATCTAAATGACTACCCTTTGATTGATACTGCAAAATTTAGCGAAATGATAAAAAGTAGTTGAACGAGCTCATATGCTTTTATGTTTCTGCTTTAATTTTCTAATATTATACAAAACTTAAATGAATTATATAATGCATTTTTCATTCTGCTTGTTAAAATATGCTACTGTGAAATAGTCACATTTTTTTTAATTCATACCATTCTGTTTATAAATCTGAAGATTTGTGTAAAATACCTTGCCTTGTTTCGATTTAAGTTACTTGCGTTTGTTTCTACAAACATTACGGTCAGAATATCCATTTCTTATTTCTTTTCAGACCGAAACTATTGAAAGCTTACAGAAGTTCCCTTTCATCTTATCATGTTTGCACTTAGTTTTCTTATTATAAACATGTATTATATTCAACAGAAATAAACACAAAGACAGAAGAGCTCTGAATAAAGGAAATACAACGAACCAAACAGTCGATGATCAGAAAGATGACCATGAAGTTTCAGAGCACAATAGTGTTCATGGAAACAATAACTACTTTGTTCTTGAACCAGTAGAGTACCAAGATGTCAACATTGATGAATCATATGATACAGCAGCAGGTGACCTGACGTATGATACCACAAAAGATATTACACAATATGAAAAAGTTTCAGTAGACAATGTTTATAACCAACTCCAAGCTGAAGCTACTTATGATCATGCCGAAGCTGTTAATAAAAGCAACCGGGCAGAAACAAGTCAAGATGAGATTGATGAAATGTATGGTAAAAGTATCATGGTAACTAAAATAAGTTACAATGATAGACACACAGATAACATCTACAATCGAGGTGAAGAACTTGAAGATAATGAGTATAATCATCTTGGACCTGAAGTTAGAAAGTTTAAAACAGATAACGTGTATGGTGTTCAGGAGAAACAGTAACAAAAATGACGATGTATTTTACATTGGTATAACGTGCCATAAATTCGATTGATTGTTTGTATTTCTGTGTATGTATATGTTTTTGTGTTATTTCTTTTTCATTGTCCTCCTTTCAATTGGGCATTAGAACCCTAGTTAATACCAGCTTCAAGTTACTAACATATGTCCGTTACCTGAATGTGTATGTAACTTGTCGTCTGATTAATTTTGTAACTATCTGACTGAAACAAAATCCGTCGACAATCACCAAAGAGTCTTTTAATTCACATGTAATGTTTAAAAAGAACTGTGTTTCCATTGCAAAAAATGTCTTAATTTCAATTCATTTTTGCAGTTAAAATGGAAAATGTTCCTATTTATACTGTCTTATAAATACTATTAGCCAGGTAAAAAAACAACGCTATTTAAAGAACTACTTTTTTGACAAACAGTGGTCATTTATGTATATTTATGTATCGATATCCTACCCATGCCGCTTTTGCGACTCCGTTAAAATGGTATTCCGTGTCCGTGCATGTATTTTCTCGTGATGCTATTTGCGTTATACAAACCTAGTGTCTTGTATTAAGACTCGTTAAATGTAAGCGTTACACTATAGGAGCGAAAATGAAAAATAATTCTTTTTCACTTTAAACAGTTTTTATTTTTGAGTATATGATATTATAATATTATATTTGTATATGTTCATTCCTGAACTTATTGACCTCGTTGAATAAAATGATATGCTCGCAAGTAAAGTCAGTATTGAACTTACATACATTCAATATCCTCTATATATGAAACATCGACGATGAGTGAAAATTTTGCCAAATATTATCTTATAAACCTGTAAATGTAATTTTAATTTCAGTAGTAAAAACAACATTAAAAAGCACATCCTTGTTTTTGTTATTTTGTGTTTGTTAGCTATGATAAAGATATGTCATTCAAGTGATTAACACTATATCCTTCACAAGCAAATAATTAAACTTAAAAAAAAGGAAAAACAAATCTGGAAACAAAGTGATCCCTCGGAAGCATTAGTCACAACAAAATTACAAGAGAATTGCAGACTCGCTTTGATTGAGTCTGTTCATGAGGGATACTGCAACATCCCTCACGTCCCCTAGCACCGGCTTAAGCGGTACTCAATTCTCAACACTTAATAGTGCTGGCATCAATGATCTCGAAGGACCAGAAAAATATAACCTAATGAGCCTATAGACCTAAAAACATGAAATTTGAAAAATTCACAAATATATCAAATGAATCACATAAAATGGAAAAATCTATAAAGGATAAAAATGAAGTATACTCAATATTAAAAAGAAAATATATTTATGTGCAATTCTTAACCGGATTTGAGAGAAAAGCGTTGCAACGCTTTTCATTTTTGGGTCAATTCGCACAATACAAACGATTATTCTGAAAACGAGGCGAGGGACTGTACTGAAAATTTGTACACAAATGCAGACTTACATCATTTGGTAAAAAAACAAGAGGGCAATGATGGCCCTAGATCGCTCACCTGACTTATCAAACTCATCCAAACAATTACCTAGACAAGCATTCTGACCAAGTCTCATGACAGGTGAGTCAAAAATGTGACCACTACAGTGTTAACAAGGATTATCCATATTTGAGCAGTGTGACCTAGTTTTTTACCCAGGTGACCCATATTCAAACTTGACCTAGAAATCATCAAAACAAACTTTCAGACCAATTTCCAGGAAACTTGGATCAAAACAGTAGCAACTAGAGTGTTAACAAGATTTATCTATTTTTAGCTCCGGTGACCTTGTTTCACATGCGATTTCGAACTCATCCGAGCAATTACCTAGACAAGCATCCTGACCAAGTGTGATGATAATTAGGTCGAAAATGTGATCACTAGAATGTTAACAAAGTTTTTCCATATTTGGGCAGTGTGACCTAGTTTTTCATCCAAGATGACCCATGTTCGAACTTGACTTAGAAATCATCAAAACAAACTTTCAGACCAATTTACAGAATATTTGGATCACAACAGTAGCCACTAGAGTGTTTACAAAAAAATTCTATTTTTTACTCCTGTGACCTAGTTTTTCATCCAAGATGACCCATGTTCGATTTAATCCCAGCAATGATCTAGACAAGTTTCCTGACCAAGTTTGATGACAATTGAGTCAAAATTGTGACCACTAGAGTGTTAACAAGGTTTTTCTATTTTTAGCTCCTATGGTCTAGTTTTTCATCCGAGATGACCCATGTTCGAACTCATCCGAGCAAGTACCTAGACAAGCATCCAGATCAAGTTTGATAACACTTGTGTCAAAAATGTGACCGCTAGAGTGTGAGCAAGCTTTTTCTATCTTTAGCTCCGGTGACCTACTTTTTCATCTGAAATGACCCATGTTCGAACTCATTCAAGCTATCACCTAGACAAGCATCCTGACCAAGTTTGATGATGATTGAGGCAAAAATGTGACCTCTAGAGTGTTAACAAGGTTTTTCTATTTTAAGCTCCGGTGACCTACTTTTTCATCCGAGATGAACCATGTTCGAACTTATCCGAGCTATTACCTAGACAAGCATCCTGACTAAGTTTGATGATGATTGGGGCAAAAATGTGACCGCTGGAGTGTTAATAAGGTTTTTCTATTTTTAGCTCCGGTGACCTAGTTTTTCATCCAGGATGACCCATGTTCGATCTCATTCAAGCTCACCTAGACAAGCTTCGTGACCAAGTTTGATGATGATTGATGCAAAAATGTGACCGCTAGAGTGTTAACATGGTTTTTTCTTTTTTTAGCTCTTGTGACCTAGTTCTTCATCCGAGATGACCCATGTTCAAACTCATCCGAGCTTTCAACTAGCTAAGCATTCTGACTAAGTTTGATGATGACTGAGGCAAAAATGTGACCACTGGAGTGTTAACAAGGTTTTTATATTTTTAGCTCCGGTGACCTATTTTTTCATCCGAGATGACCCATGTTCGAATTTATCCAAGCTATCACATTGACAAACATCCTGTCAAAGTTTGATGATGATTGAGGCAAAATTGTGACCTCTAGAGTGTAAACAAGTTTTTTCTATTTTTAGCTCTTGTGACCTAGTTTTTCATCCGAGATGACCCATGTTCGAACTCATCCGAGCTATCAACTAGATAAGCATCCTGACCAAGTTTGATGATGATTGAGGCAAAAATGTGACCGCTGGAGTGTTAACAAGGTTTTTCTATATTTAGCTCCGGTGAGCTAGTTTTTCATCCGAGATGACCCATGATCGAACTCATCTGAGCTATCACCTAGACAAGCATCTTGATCAAGTTTAATGATGATTGATGCAAAAATGTGACTGCTAGAGTGTTAACAAGGTTTTTCCATTTTTAGCTCCGGTGACCTACTTTTTCATCTGAGATGACCCATGTTCAAACTCTTCCGTGCTATCACCAAGACAAACATCCTGACCAAGTTTAATGATGTTTGAGGCAAAAATGTGACCTCTAGAGTGTTAACAAGGTTTTTCTATTTTTAGCTCTTCTGACCTAGTTTTTCATCCGAGATGACCCATGTTCAAACTCATCCGAGCTATCAACTAGATAAGCATTCTGACTAAGTTTGATGATGATTGAGGCAAAAATGTTACCGCTGGAGTGTAAACAAGGTTTTTATATTTTTAGCTCCGGTGACCTACTTTTTCATCCGAGATGACCCATGTTCGAATTTATCCAAGCTATCACCTTGAGAAACATCCTGTCAAAGTTTGATGATGATTGAGGCAAGATTGTGACCCCTAGAGTGTAAACAAGTTTTTTCTATTTTTAGCTCTTGTGACCTTGTTTTTCATCCGAGATGACCCATGTTCGAACTCATCCGAGCTATCAACTAGATAAGCATCCTGACCAAGTTTGATGATGATTGAGGTCAAAATGTGACCGCTGGAGTGTAAACAAGGTTTTTCTATTTTTAGCTCCGGTGACCTACTTTTTCATCCGAGATGACCCATGATCGAACTCATCTGAGCTATCACCTAGACAAGCATCCTGATCAAGTTTAATGATGATTGATGCAAAAATGTGACCGCTAGAGTGTTAACAAGGTTTTTCCATTTTTAGCTCCGGTGACATACTTTTTCATCTGAGATGATCCATGTTCAAACTCTTCCGTGCTATCACCTAGACAAACATCCTGACCAAGTTTAATGATGTTTGAGGCAAAAATGTGACCTCTAGAGTGTTAACAAGGTTTTCGTATTTTTAGCTCTTCTGACCTAGTTTTTCATCCGAGATGACCCATGTTCAAACTCATCCGAGCTATCAACTAGATAAGCATCCTGACCAAGTTTGATGATGATTGAGGCAAAAATGCGACCACTAGAGTGTTAACAACTAAATGTGAACGGACGACGGACGACGGACAATCATCGATCCTAAAAGCTCACCCTGAGCATGCTCAGGTGAGCTAAAAATCAGAAAAATATTTCCAGTCTCCAGTGGAATCCATAAATATAGTTTTATATACAATTTCAACACATACACATGATTATAATAACACACATGTTAAGTTAAAAAAGAGTGGTGTAAATTTTCACAGAGTATCAAAAATATCATAAAAAATTATTTACAAACATGTTGAACCATTAAAGGAAAAATAAATATGTTCTGACAACAGAAAAATGCATATAGAATAATAACAACAACAAAAAAGCAACGGATATTGAAAAATTGCCTTTCAAACATTTTATCTGTGACTAAAGTTCTATAAATACACAAAGAAGTTACAATAGAAAGACAGTGAAATGAAAACTTAGGTATGGCGCATGCATACATAGACTTTTAAACAACGTAGAAAAATAAATCAATTAAGGATTCCTAATCTAATGATTGGTATTACAATATCTACATTTAAACAGTAATGTATATACATGCACATGATTTACATGGTGGTGAAAATAATAAAAAAGAATATGTGTCTGTTATTAATGTGTATGAACCTATATATCTGCTGCAAAAATATTTCTTGAATTTTAAGAATAAATTTCACCTAACTGCCTGTAGGAAAGAAATACATGTATAAAAGTATGTAACCATAAGTGCGAATAGCACATGCACATAATCATTGCTTAAAATGGTTTAAATCCTGTTTACAATTAGCATCGTAATATTTTGTTCGAGTAAATGTCATTCTGTTTACGTACCATGTTTCACGAGTTATTAATAACAGTAACATTCTACAACTCTTTCGAGAATCGACAGGATGTTTACAATATAATTTTAATGATAATAATTTTTTATAAAAATATTTTCTAAGATTTCTTTACCTTTAAATATACATGCGTTCTAATCACATTGCTATAGATCTTTGCTCTCATAACTTCAAAATTACTAAAAATATGATTAAATTTTACCCCAAGATAATATAAACAAAATCATCATTACATCATCACAAAAAATAGTATAAATTTTATCACACACCCAAAACAAAATTTTAAATATATCATTTAATCATCAGATCAAAACAAAAATCAAAATCTAATTTTGAAGCATCCATACCAAAATCTATACCTATGCTCGGTACGCACATTTTGTAGGGGTTTTATATTTCATTTGTATTTTTTCTTGCAAGACCCATTCCCCCCTTGGGACGCCATTTGTTGGCATTTCATGTTGGCACTTTTATTTGTTTTTGCAAGACTGTTTCCCCCTTTTTTGTAAGTTCTTTAGTTCATGATCCTTCCCTTAAAGGTTAACTTTCCCCTTTTTTGCATTCCTGAATTTTCCCAAATCCCGATTCTGTTCATAAATTTTAATTTCTGTTGGAGTGGCCTATAATTGTTTGATTGTTAAATCAGTGTTTTCATCTTGTACGGGCCTCTACGATCAATTGTCCCGTAACTGTTACATTATTCTCATAAAAATTCTTGCTTGGAAAAAGTGGGGATTATTAATGCCTTTGAACTCGAACATTTGTAGTCCTTCATGTCACAAAAAAAGCCACATTTTCAGGTTCATAGAAACATTTTTATTCATAAATTATTTATTTATAGAATATTTAGAAAAAAGCAAGATAATGTCGTTATAGTCCGCCCAATATTTAGTTCTTAAATTATTCAGAATATGTTTTAAACTGCCATATTACACGTGCCTCTTAATGATTAAGCAATATGATTGCATGATAAAGCCATTTAATTTAGGGCGTGAAAGTCATTTAACTTCATAATTTCTTAATAAAATAAACGGAACGTTTTTCCCCTCAGAAAATATAATAATTCGGTCAGATAATATTTAACATTTCTCGTACGTTTTCATTACCAAAGCTTTTTTTTATATATAAATTAAATTATTCCCACTGTTACAGATATTTTTCTCAAGAACCATGGCATCAAAAACATGTTCCTTGACAAGGCTTTTATGAAAAGATGGTAATTATTCTATTCCTTGGTCGACACTGTTAGTGTTTTTATTTATTTTCGAACATTTATTTCTTTATCACCAATTTGTAATGAATCTAACCCAAAATCAAAAACATGAGATATTTAAAAATCCCTTACATGAAAAAATGCATCGTAAGAAGTGACAAAAAGCTACAAACATGAACAGAGGCATTGCAACAATAATCAAGAAGTCAGAAACATAAAAAGTCATCGCAAGAAGTTTCAAGATGTCATAAACAGAATAAGTCGTAAGAAGTGCCAAGAAGTCACAAACATTAAAAAAAGGCATCGAGAGAAGAATCAATTAGTCACAAACATTACAAAAAATGCATCGAAAGAGCAATCAAGAAGTCACAAACATGAAAAGAGGCATCGCAACAAGTAACATAAACATCGTCATAAAAAGTTCAAGAAATCACAAACATAAAATGGCTCAAAAGAGTGTCAAAAAGCAACAACATGAAATAAGCATCAAAAGAAATGATAATAAGTAAGTTACAATTTTAGAGTAAAAAAACATCATAAGAAGGGTCAAAAACGTCAGAAACATAAAAAAAAACGTGAAGAAGTCATAAACATTCAAATCGACACCGTAAGAAGTGTCTATAAGTTACAATCATGAAAAGGGAATGGAAACAAATGTTAAGAAGTCACACTTATGAAAAGACATCTAAAGAAATATCAAGAAGAAACACGAAAAAGCATCGATATCATTGGCATGAAGCTACTTACATTAAAATGGTATCGTTTGAAGTGTATTAAGAAATCATAGATATAAAAGAGACATCGCTAGAAGTGTCAATAAGTCACAAACATGAACATAAACATCGTAAGTAGTGCCAAGAAAGAATAATCATGAATATAAACATTGTCATAAGTGTTAGGAAGTCACAAACGTGATAAAAAAGGTCATCATAAGAGTGTCAAGAAGAAAGTTTTATAAAAAAAACATAAAAAGGAATCAATTAAATGAAAAATGTTTACATTTTGAGGAATAACGTGTCTTTAAATATTTTTGTGATCATTTAAAAAAGCTACAGTCTAAATAATTCTGTTACCTATGTCTATAGAAACAAGCCAGCGATACTATGATCAAAGAAAGCAGTAATACAGACACACAAACTCCGATGATAACGTACTTTTCAGATGAACTCTCGGCTACAATGGAAATATATATTACCACAAAACTACATGCAGACTTTATATTTGGTTAAACTATCAAAACAAATCAAGCGACACACTCTGGCAGTTTGACCAAAAATGGATGAGTATATATTTAATTTGAATACATTTTTTACATCAAGAAATTTGAATCTTTTCGACTTACATTCTGAAAAAAAGGAAATTCTTTGAGAGTGATTAAAACAATAATTTACGGGTAAAAAGGACTTTGTTCGATTAGAAATGTTCATGACAGATAATGCAAAGAAAAAAATCTCAATCCCTAGCATTGGCGTAATCAAAACCTTGTCTTTTACAATAAACGGAATGGTACCAATGTTTCGAAAACAAAAATTCTAGTTCACATTAAAGAAAATGTACTGTCTTTATGGCTATTTGTTATAATACATACACTATATATACATAATAATCTGGAAACAAAGTGATCCCTCGGAAGCATATTTAACAACAAAATTACATAAGAATTGCAGACTCGGTTTGATTGAGTCTATACATGTTTTATAAAATATAATATGAGGGACTGGACTCTTCTCCTAACAAAATTAAATTTCTTAATGTATCTGATAAATATATTTATACCAGGGGTTTGTTATTTTATGTTCCATGACAATATTTCACTGCTGTCAATACATCGCAAAAATAATCTTAAAAAGCCCGAAATGCTAAATCTTACCGTTTCCATCAATTGTAGTAGGAAATGCAGTTGAACTAGTTGAATTTTCATTTTTAACTTCTTTTTCTGAAATCGGCGAAGAGATCAGTAATATACAAATAAAACATAACAAATTTTATATGTATACTGATTAAAAGTGTAAAAATAAAACATAAGTTGTTTATTAAAAAAGTACGTATAAACTTACTAATATATCATGTATATAAAAAACACAGGGAAGTGACTTCGTTCATTTAAAAAAAATGCCAGATTTTACATCGTTCTGTAATCAGATGCAAAAAGTATCATTTAGGATCCTTAAAGATCGTTCAGCACGACATTATTGTTGTGCCTGTGGTATTTTTTTTTAGTTTTAACTTTTCGGCATTTTCTAGTTGGGTAGTTCCAATATTCCGACTTGAATAATGTTGAATCACCCTTATGATATGTTGCCTGCTTTTTAACTTTGTCTTTTGACGTCTTATCTGTGATATGCAGGCTTCATAACCTCTGATCCCCTTTCAAAATTCCATTTTATTTAGTTCTGCCCATTATTTTCTCGTTTAAGCTACAGTCTCAATTACATCCCGGCAGAGCCCCGGCAGACCGGGGTGATCCGGGAACGACCGGGGTACGACCGGGAACAACCGGGGTACATCCGTAACTCTGCCGGCAACGTCCTGGATGATTCGGGATGATACGGGAACATTGGCATTCGACCCCGGATGGAATAAAATATTTAATATCACCGGGGTGGTCCGGGATGATCCGGGAAGGTATAGCTTTACCGGCTTCATCCTTAGCACTGCCGGGAACGACCGGGGTTATACCGGGAAAGCACCGTGGCTCTGCCGGCACAAACCGGGGATGATCCGGGGTATGATATAGCCGGTAGAGCTACGGTAGAGCTACGGTAGAGCCCCGGTATATGCCGGCAGAGCCCCGGTAAAGCCTCGGTCTCACTTATTCCCGGCAGAGCCCAGGACCATCCCGGTAAGTTACCGGGATGATCCGGGACGATCCGGGATGAAATTATTGTTGCAGTCACACTTACCCCGGCAGCACTACGGTAGTTCCTTACTAACCACCCAGGATGCGCTCCGTATCATCCAGGCAGAGCCCAGGTGAAGCTACGGATCATGCCGGTGCTTCCCCGGTCGTTCCCGGATGACGCCGGAAGCCCCGGTTGACCCAGGCAGAGCCCCGGTCGATCCAGGCAGAGCCCCAGCAGAGTCCAGGACGATCCAGGCAGAGCCCCGGTAGAACCCCGGTGGATTGAAAACGCCCGAAAATGATAACATTGATACATAATTTTTATTTAATATAATATCTATTGTTCCAGAATAGTAATTCATGATGATTTTCTGAAAAATTCTTATGCCATACTGGATAGAAGGGAAATGGGAAGGCTTTTAATACAAACAAGTGCAATCATCGCAAATTGTCGTTATTCTTTTGAAATGATCTGGGCTTTGCCGGGGCTCTACCGGGATCAACCGTAGCTCTACCTTTATCCGCCGGTGCCCTGCCTGTAGTTACCGGGGCTCTGCCGGCATATACCGGGGCTCTACCGTAGCTCTACCGGCTATATCATACCCCGGATCATCCCCGGTTTGTGTCAGCAGAGCTACGGTGCTTTCCCGGTATAACCCCGGTCGTTCCCGACAGAGCTAAGGATGAAGCCGGCAAAGCTATACCTTCCCGGATCATCCCGGACCACCCCGGTGATATTAAATATTTTATTCCATCCGGGGTCGAATGCCGGATGTTCCCGGATCGTCCCGGATCATCCAGGACGTTGCCGGCAGAGTTACGGATGTACCCCGGTTGTTCCCGGTCGTACCCCGATCGTTCCCGGATCACCCCGGACGTCTACCGGGGCTCTGCCGGGATGTAAGTGAGACAGTAGCTTAACTACAGGCAGAGCTCCGGAGGATAAAGGTAGAGCTGCGGTTGATCCCGGTAGAGCCCCGGGGTCATTTTAAAAGAATAACGACAATTTGCGATGATTGCACTTGTTTGGCATAAGGATTTTTCAGAAAATCATCATGAATTACTACTATTCTGAAACAATAGATATTATATTAAATAAAAATTATGTCTCAATGTTATCATTTTCGGGCGTTTTCAATCCACCGGGGTTCTACCGGGGCTCTGCCTGGATCGTCCTGGGCTCTGCCGGGGCTCTGCCTGGATCGACCGGGGCTCTGCCTGGGTCAACCGGGGCTCTTCCGGCGTCATCCGGGAATGACCGGGGAAGCACCGGCATGAACCGTAGCTTCACCTGGGCTCTGCCTGGATGATCCGGAGCGCATCCTGGGTGGTTAGTAAGGAACTACCGTAGTGCTGCCGGGGTAAGTGTGACTGCAACAATAATTTCATCCCGGATCGTCCCGGATCATCCCGGTAACTTACCGGGATGGTCCTGGGCTCTGCCGGGAGTAAGTGAGACCGAGGCTTTAGGGCACACGCTTTCTTTTATTTGGGGACCATACGCCGCTTTTCATGGAATGGCACGGAAGTGTCACATTGAAGGTTCCATGATAACCGCCATATGAACACATCTGCGGATGTTTCTAAATTCAAAATTTTACCATTTCGTGTTTAAATGTTGAATTCTGCTTAAGCTGTTGCTAGGGGGCGTGGACGGTAGTTTGCACTTTACAGTACCGTCCATGAACAGGCTCAATCAAACCGAGTCTGCAACATTTTCAATTATGTTGTGTTGGACTTTCTTTAGGGATTCTTATTTTTTTTCTATTCTGTAAATATATAAATGAACGTTTCCCTCCTATATTCTGTTCAAGTAATTTTCTATCCGGGAGGGAATTCAGTACCTTCAAGTCTTGGTAACAACGACCTCTTCAAGTTAAATTCCAATAGAATTTCTATTTATCTTATGTGTATTTTTTTAGTGCCATTTTCATATCCTTAGGAACCTGGGTCCCAGAAGTTAGAATTGAAAAACAGTTAATATTTTCCTGTTATAAATCTTTTTATGAATCTTATTTGATAATTCATTTATTCTAAGTTTAGTGCCTGTTTAGGGACAAGGGTCTCAGAAAGTCAAAATTGTCTAGAAATTAAATAAATTTTGTATTAAATAATGTTAGACCTATTAATGTATTTAAATTTTAGTGTCATTTGTCTCTTTGGGAACAAAGTTGTCAGAAATCCGAAATTCAATAATTATTTTGTTAGAAATTCTTAGATCTCTTATGTATTGTAGTTAGGTTTAAAGTCATTTGACTGTCTTGGGAAAAGGTTCTAAGAAAGTCCCAATCGTTTTAAAAAGTCATATATTTCTATTTTTTATTTTATTACTTCTCTTATATATTTTAGTACAATTTTGACTGTCTTCAGATCAAGTCTCGAATAGTAACAACTTTTTTGTTTGAGCTCCAGTAATGTCAAGAAACTTATATTACAAAGGGATAAGAAGCTCTAAAATATAAATCTATACAATCCTAACACAAAATCCCTTACGCCAGATTCATTTGACCATGGAGTTGATACATTTTCGAAATCTTGTTTTATGTAACCGAATGTGTTTACATTTTCATACATCACTGAGAATAATTTACATCTTCTGAATCTTTATTGCATTGTTGGACATTTTACATTTTTTTTCAGTGTTTTCTGTCATAATCAAAGACAAACGCTTCTGTTTTTCACGTTAAACGCACGAAGGATGAAACTTGAAATTCCCATTTTTTTCAACTTTGCAGTAATTTTCTTTTTTAGAATCTTGAAAATTTTTAATGTAATTGTGTTTCAATTCCTGTTATTTCAAGGGCAAGTGTAGGGTTCAAGTGTTTTTAAAACGCGATTTTTCCCCTTCTTGCACAATGTCCAAGAAGATTCCATATGTGCTCAATATAAATCGATTCATGGTATCACATTAACGATGTGTCTAGCGGCGAGGTAATTTTGTGTGAGTCTAGCAGTGTATGGCCTGGCATTGTTGTGCATCAGTAAACATTGGTGCTAACGTAGAAAAAAAGAACCCTGTTAATATAATTTTTGACATTAAGATTACCAGGAATGTTTTTTTTTCTGTTTCCCATTATCTCATCCCAAACCACAACGCTGTCTTCACCAAATCGATCCTGTCCTAACAAGCAATTGTCTGCAAAACACTCACATCGACGGCGAAAAATGGGTGCTCTACCATCTGCACCGGTCAGATTAAAATGGAGAAGCTTAACATTCCTGCTCAAACGATTCAGAACGGTTTGTCTAGATATGTATGTATTTCTTGTTGTAGTGGTTTAAAACCTGTTACGTAGATGCGGTAACGTTATTAACTGGTCCTAACGTGCAGTCTTTACTTTTGGCCTACCGGAACGAACGCCATCTCTTACACTTCCAGACTGCTTGAAACGGTGCCGCAGATTGATAATTGTGTTGCGATGGCAGTTTAACTGTCCCTAAACCACAGTGCAGTGACGCTTCTTCCCGACGTAAGAATTACAAAAGCTTCAACTATATCGTTTTCTCAAAACCACGACAACTTGTTAACGAGTTAAATTTAATTTGAAATGTAATGTTTCAGGGCGTTAAGGTTCAGTAAATTGGTCAGTGACAAATAAAACATGAGAAACTTAACGCTCGATGTAGTTTCATAACAGTGTTAAAGTCGTCTTGAGGGAAAAAAATCTGATAAAATGTCCATCAATTTAGAGCAATATGAAGGCAAGTGTCGAATACTCAGATGGAAAAATATTACCCTGTTCATCCGAGTAATCGCGAAAATATAGCAAATATAAAAGTGCACTTCCCTTCAGAGCGATTCAAACAACAACTGATAGGTAAAAATTGCAGACAAAGTTCGATTAGACATGTTATTGAAAGATAATGCAAAGTGAAATCTCTCAATCCCTAGCATTGACTTACGCAAAAACAAGTAGTATTTTTTACAATAAACGTAATGGTACCAATGTTTCGAACACAATAATTCTAGTTCACATGAAAGAAAATGTAAATATAGTATCTGTCTTTATGCTATTTGTTAATATGAATATACTTTTTAAACATGCTTTCTTAAAATAAATATAATGGACTGTATTCTTCTCTTAACCAAATTCTTATTCTATCTTATACCGTATATCAATACAGAGTGTTTGTTATTTTATGTTCCATGACACTATTTCACTTCTGTCAATACATCGCAAAAATAATTAAAAAAAAGCCCGAAATGCTAAAACTTACCGTTTCCATCTATAGTAGAAGAAGAGGCAGTTGAACGAGTTGAATTTTGATTTTCAACTTCTTTTCCTGAAATCGATGAAGAGATCAGTAAAATATTCACGGTCATTTTCCATTCAAAGCAACACAAATTAAAATCAGTAAGCAAATTTTGAGAAACAAAACTCATTTTCGCTTATAATGACAGTGTTGTCTGCATAATAACAATTCAAGCAATTTTAGATAGGTAAGGACATTTGTGTTATATTTTTCAATATCAATGCCAGAATTATTGCGATACAAGTGCTCTTTAAATTTACCGATTAAAAATGATTATAAAATGTTTCGATGATGGCGTCTTTTCTGTTATTAATTATTTTATTATTAAGATTTTATAAAAATCCTTTGGGCGTCTATAATGCATTTCTCATTTTCGCTCATTCGAGTTATATGCTTACACATATAAGTGTGTATTATCTGTTTGTAGTATTTATCACCGTAAGAAAATAAATTGTCTACATCATATCAAGACTTTGACAATTTGAAAATTTTGAAAAAGAATAAAACAAAAATGCAAAAAAAGTTAATTATTGAAGTCCCTGTAAAAGTGCATTTACCAAAAACCATATCTTCACACATTCCACCGTTTGCAATAAAAACGTTTTATAACATTTACACAGTTTAAAAGACATAAACCGGTAGCGTTCTTTTTGTTATCAGAAGAATTTCTTTTGGCTTGGAAATTATTTTCTTCTAAATATTTACTATAGTTAAATTCGCCAAGAAAAGACCCATCTAATAATCTAATAATTTGTTAAAATTGTCAAAGCTAACATAATCTCACGGATGAGATTACAATTTTTATAATAATGATGATACAAACAACATTTATCAGAAACAGAATTTTCAAAATTGAAATAATGTATTGTCATTATACAAACGAGATTGTATTGAAGGTATATACACGGCCCCTATTATCAAGTTCTCTTGTTTATAAAAAATGATGAATATTGATGAATACTGAATGAATATTGGATTCTAGCACAAATGGCAATCACAATTGACGACGGACGCCGCCCACACGAGCGAGCGATGTAAAACCGGGAATCACAAGCTTATCACGAGCACTGTTTACTCAAAACAGCTGAAGAAAAACATAATTAAGTGACGTATTATTTATAACTTTATATAATTATTTACACTTGAATAAGATACGTTAAATTTAAATTGTACCGACATCGCAGAGTCTTCTATGTCTCGAATCTATTTCAGTAAATTGCAAAGTCACTCCATCTCCAACATTTCTAGTTAAGTAGCCATAAATTTTTCGATCGTGAGATCGTTCAGCTGAAATATGAATTGTGCAGTAATTTCATTAAAGTGTATTTATCAAATAATTAACAGAAATATAAGTAGTAAGTTTGCAAGTGAGAACAAATATAGTTTGTTTATTTCACCATTATTGTTGTTAACAATTGCTGACTGGGTATAAAACTAATTTATAAAAAATAAACTTTAATAACACACAATGTATTAGATTGTGTGTTTTGTTTCCCCTCTTTCATAAAATTTTGTTGAAAGAAAGATGTATGAAACTAAACGTTATTTTACGTTATTGTAGTTTTTTTCTATTGAATATTATTTTAGAAAAAAAGATTTTTATCAAAGTTGAAATAAATTAGTTTTATTACCAGGAATGTTTGAATTGTATTTGTAAACTATTTTTGTTTTAAACATTCCAGTCCACAGTTGAGATACTCGGTGTTCATCTACGTCCTTTGCATTTGAATAATCTGTTTGAAACATTCGATTTGCAAAACAAACATTTGCTGCATCAATCCATATAAAGTATTGTTGACTTTTATCTCGACGTTCAAACATTTGGACACGAGATCCTATTTAAGAGATGAAAAAGAAATTAAGTGAAATATATTTGTAAGAACATTTAGCAAATAAAAAGTATTCTCTTCATTTCCAATTTACAAGATATAAATATGAAATACAAAAATGAAATAATAACAAACAAAAACATTTTAGGCACCTAAGCCTGTAAAAACTCATTCAAAACTCAGGCAATTCATTTGCTTTGTTCTATCAACATTAAAAGTACCTTATAATTTTGCAGCAAGCAGTGTACACTTAAAACATTCAACTATACAAATAATAATATACAAAAAAAAGTCAATAATCAATTTACTCAGAATTAATAACTCATTAAAAATCAACAAAAGAAATGAATTTTGAGTTTTAGTTGAGGTCCTATGTATACTTTCGTTTCGAACAAGATAGTCTCAAATAGAGAAAGAGCATTTAATGCTTTCTCAATATATAACCTTCATTTTTGGATGAATATTTAGCAATAATATCAAGAGCAAGACTGATAATTATTATCTGTACTCTTCAGGATAAACAAGTTCTTAAAAACTGGAACATAACTCTGACGTTATACATTTCTAAGTTTTATCCAATCATTTTTTTTACCGGAAGCCGTCTGTTTTCGGTTTAACTTTCAATATATGTAAAAATTCCATCGGTCATTTTAAAATTACATTCCGAAATCTCGGAATATGATTGGCCATTGTAAAATAAGTAAAATAACATTAAGGATTTTTCTGACATGGTATATAAGTCTAATTTTTAATTAATCAAAAGGAGGTCTGGAAACGAACTATCTACATTCCTCAGTTCTTAAGTTTCAGATACTTAAGTTATGTTTAACCATGACTCCTTCTACTTTGTAATATAATTCTATAATATGAAATTAGGCAAAGCCTTTGAACAGGGAAGTCGGTATTTTTATTTTACATTTTCCGTTTTAAAAGTGTCATTCGGTATATATACACCGCTTCGGTTTGTTCTGGTTTCCTGTCTTATTAAGTTTCCCATCCATGAGGGCTGCCCATAATTTTTCGGCTTTTATCGTTATCTTATAGGCCGAAAAGTTGCGATTTGTCAATTATCGGATAACTCGCCGTCTATCATTGCGTTACGGTGCCCAACAAGAAATGACACTGAAAATTTCGCTGATATGTATAGAATTCTATATCTTTTCTCTTTTTTTTCTTTCAAAATATACACGTGTAGTCTATAGCCGGGCAAGCCAAAGCGGCCCCGAACTTTGACTTTTGAATGGTTTGTTTATTATAAATGTTTGTCAACGTATTTTTGAGATAAGAAAGCTTACTTTTGGTTCTTTGTTTTTCGGATTTTAGGTTTCTTTCGTTATTTCCAAATGTGTATCCAGGTATATCGTATCAACAAAACGTTGTCATTTATAAACTTTCTATTACAACTTCTATTACTGAAATGCTTTTTTTAAGCTTAAACGACATTCAAAATGATAAAAATGCGGTATATGGTACTGAATTGTTACACAGGTTTTACGACATTAATCGGCGCGTATAAGAAATACATTTTTGTAAGGAAACTTAAATTCATTTTATACAGAATTTACTTTAGTTTGATTGCGTAGAAAATATAGACATTGTCTCAAATCAGTCCCTGAAAACACAGAGCTATAAGCTTCATAATATAAGTCTTTGTTAAAGCTAGGCATGAACAATTTTCTTACTCAAGGAAACAACAGCGTTTGAACCGTTTATCATAAATAGCAATTTCTTAATATCTATTGAGATGGTAGTTATGAAAATGTCCTTTCTTAAATTATATAGAGGATATTTGTTTGTTTGTGTGTAAGATGAAATTTTATTTCATCTAGTGCGCTTTAAAAACAGAAATGTTCACGAGTGACGTAGCGACGAGTGAGAATACTGTATTTTAAGTGCACGAGATGAAATAAATTACATCTTACACAACAAACAAACAACTTTTCTTTTTATTTTATGCTTAAAAACAAGTTAAAACGAAATTTCCATAATATTGACGTTAATATTAAAATCTCTTTCCCCATTGAGAGCCTCATTTAGTCGGAATTTCTCATTAAATACAAGACGTCTTGGGCTGAACAATAAGTTCGACAATCAACGTTAAATGACGGTGAAATTATTCATTTTATTAAAAAAATATGAATGATCGCTTGTTTTAATAAAAAAAAAAAAAACAATTCTAGTAGAAGAAAAAGTCGAACCATCCATCCATATTTCTGTTACTTACTGCGAATTTATATTAGACATGGCTTTGTTAAATGTAAGCGGCCGCCATTTGTTTTAAGTTGTGTATTTCAAGGGAGGAAAATAACTGTGTTTGATTTTGAGGGATATCATTTGGATTTGTGAGCCATACACCTTTTAAAAAGAAAGAAAACCTATTTGAGGATTGTGACAGACAAAAATTAAATGTTGGCAGATGTTAAAACATTCAAAAAGCGGCTAGGAAAAAGGAAAACTTGTTCAAATAGTTCAAATGCTGCCTTACGAATACTGGGTTGTTTACTTATTCTTCGGGCTGATGGCTGTCATTGCTTTTCAAGTTTTCATAAAGCATACGGCAGTTATTGCTCGTGGGATACTTAAATATGCCCAAATGTCACCAAAAGCAGTTTTGCATGTGGAAGGAATGTATTTTTTAGACTGTAAGAATGAAACAAAAAATATAAGACATGATATTTGGTGATTGGTAATTTGGATGAATAGAAGTTAGTTTTCTTCTTTTTATTACTTTTGACATTTAAGTTATTTATCAATTTCATCTTGGCTTTTCTTTAAACAGCCTGACATGGTCAGAATTGTCAGCAAAAATAAAATTGAGGTATCACATCGGGAAAATCTTAAAAAAAAGTAGTTTCCTCATTGAATAGTGTGAAATTATATTTCGATAATTTTCACTGTGAAATTATCAAATATAATTTTCACGGATAAATCAGTAATACACGGAAAATCATAGAATAAAGAAATTTTAACTGTTCTCACTCTTTATTAATTATTTGACATAGTTAACATGAATAAGTTCACCTTTAGAACTTCATGAAATCTTCCACAAACACATCTCTAGAAGCTCAACATGTACATTGAGTAAGTAACCAAAATATATTCAACCTGTCTTTAGTCTATTTCACCCATTAGCTGCTAAATTTATGAAATGGTTTTGCTCAGCTGTGAATTTGGAACAGTTCATTCAAAGTATCAGGGATTGTTATTAGATATTTAATGTATTTGTACAAATGAGCTATGGTCAGTCTGTATGAATGTGACCTGGCCCTGTACTGGTGGCCTCTTTAAGGATAATTAGTCCTGTAAGTTTTGTAAACGTCAATAGTAATGCCTAGCACAAGAATTTTTAAATAAACTCTTAGATTCACATGTGTTTTCCCATACAAGTTAACCAAATTAACATTGAATAAGAAATCCAAAGGGTGGGGTTAATCTTACCCGAAGGGTTATTATTTATTTATTTTTAGCAGAAGACAATAAGGTTTAGCTATATTTAAAATATTTACAAGTTTTGGGCATTTTAGTTTCTAAGTATAAAGTTACAAATTGCATTCAAAAATGTTGAAAAATTGTCAAAATCTAATTATCTTACATTATTTCTCCAATAAATACGGAAGGGAAAATTACATTGACTAGGGGCGAAAAAAACTTGATTATATCCGTGTCCCATCTGTTTAAATAAATTCAGTACCATAATTATATGAAAAATCAAATTTTCCGCTTAGCAGCCGCGATAGCATTATTCACGTACATCGGCGTTACCTTCTCGCACGACTCCGGTTCATAAAAAACGGTTTGAATCACATTTTATCAGTTTATTTTCAATTATTAATGTCAACAGAAATTTAATAAATGTCACTTGCCTACAAAACATTGAAATTATACAATGTATGATGCATTGTTGTACTTAAAAGAGTCGACAAAAAGCCAAAATCACGCTCAAAACGGTGGTCAAACCATCATTTTCACGAATGATCTTGAAAAGTAAGCAATTGTGTGGAAATAATCTTGATGAGGGATTAAGAATTATGTCTTTGCAGCCGTTTTCAGTTTGGTTAAATAAAAATATATTGGCCACTTTACTTACCGCATTGGAAATTCTGTCCAGTATCCGCCATTTATTGCACAATTCTGCGTTACTTTTTGCACGAATCGTGCGTTATTTCACATTCCGGCATTAATGGATATACACAGTGTGATTTTGTTTCTATTGCTATAGATCTATCTTATGAAATATTTTTTTTTTAATTTATCAACAGTAAAGTTATATTGGTTTCATTATTGGTTGATTTCCGAAAAAGTTGTACCATAGAATGTCTCTGTTATTTAACACACATGAATAATGTACATAAACATAATAAAATATTCCGGAACAAAATATTATTTTGCTATTTTAAGTAGGGTTTTATCCGTTAAGCAATGATTTTGTGCATGTGCCACTCGCTTTAAGGTAATTCATTGCCATTTTTATTTCATACAAGCATTTTGGCAGTATTCTTTTTTGAAATTCAAACAATATTTTTGTATCAGATATATAGCTTTATACACTTTAAAATATTTCGTATGTGATTCTAACTGTCAACATATACATATGATTTCAATATTTCAAAACTTTAAACAATAGACCATAATCCTTATTATGTCTATTTCTATGTTTCCTAAGATACGATATTTTTAGTTCGGCCGAGTATCTTTAAAGTAACTTCATGTTTCATAGTGAGTATGTTTGTTAATATATGTGTATACTAGTGCAAAATTCGGTCGAATGCGTTAACAACATCGATAGTTTGTCAACATAATTGTACTTTGATGAAACAGCAACGCCCGCTACTTGGCCGCTAGATTTATACCAACTGTATGTCTATTCCTGCTGTATGTAACAAAATGTATTATATATTATGTACGTATGTTATTAATTAAAAAACCCAGGACTTTCCGATATTAAAAGTGTTTGCAAGACCACGATATAAATCGTAGGCATATTTGCCCATCTGTTCGGTCATTACACCGGTTATATATAGATTAATTTAAACGAAATAAACGTCGGGCTACCTGTCACCGTCTTTAGTTTGTGTGTGTGTGTGTGTGTGTGTGTGTGTATGCGTGCGTGCGTGCGTGCGTGTGCGTGTGCGTGTGAATGTGTGTTGCTTCGTAAATAAATGATATGACCGTCTGGCTACTACAGTGCAAACCGTCGTTGCAAACTTGTAGTATTAACAAAGGTAATATAAACAATGATTAATTGATTTAATGATTAAATATATACTTAACATTTGCACACATTGGTACTAAGGCATGGGTACATTTATCCCAAATAAAGCTTTTTGGGTTGTCAGGATTCAACGCGAGACAGTTATATCCCACATGATATGCATAGCGTATTGCGCTAGCGGTCACTGAAATAAACCAACATTCTAACATAAATTTTATTCTAAGTGTATCATCGTATATGATACTGTCTTTGCTTAGATTAGCGGTCATATAATCAAGAGAAGCTGGGGCACGTGACTAATATATCCAGCTAGCGTACGGAACGTCGGTGGTTCTACTAAGATTTTCCTCCACCAGTAAAGCTGAAATGTTGCCATATGACCTATACTGTGTCGGTGTGACGTATAACCCAATCACAAACAAAAAAACGTGACTAATAACTCATCCGCATACTGTGTAATGAGACAGTTTGAGAAAATTATCATTTCTTTCGGACATGATAATAGAATGGTTATATCTTGTCAATGGCTTTCAACGTAAACATACTTTGATAAAGCCATGCTAAATATTCACTTCATTTCATAGTTGAATATGGATATGCGTAATAAACAAGTACAAATAAGATGGATTCTTATATTGCGACCATAGACGACCTGTTAACCACTGAATATTCTGGAATACATAGGTAGACAACCTTTATTAAACTTTTGTGATGGTTCAACTTAACTAGACCAATCTAATCCGTAAATTATATTTGATATATATCGTTGACATGGAATAATATTTAGTAATGCCCTTGATATATCAAGGGAACTTACCACTTGGATTCATTTTGTAAATTGATAGGAAAGCATATTTCATAACCGTACTATCATAACCACACGAAACAATAGGGTGGTTACATTCGTGAGTACATCTGGTCTGTGTAGGATGTGTTAACAATATGTCTGAACCCAGGCAGTAACACTGAAATACAAAGCAAGCATGGAAAAGATGTGACTGAAAATAAATACACATTATTACCTTAGACATACATGGAACTTATGTTGCATGGAATGTTTTCCCCCCGAGCTTTTCTTTTGTGAAACAATGTTGCAATGCACATTGATAACAGGTGGTCATAAAGTAGCCAAAGATTGACCATTTACATCAGAACATAATTTTCTTTTATATGATATTGTTTTATACAGTACAGCTGTGTTCAAATTGATTTTTAAAAAGGTAAAATTGGCAAAAAGTAAAATGTGTCAATTTCTTTCACAACTGCATTACTAATGCATTCGATTAACAATAGCACTAAAATATTAACAATACATGTATATTATATACAACCTTTTCCATTCTTAAAAAAACAATAGACGTGAATGTATTTGATATTTAAACAATTACAATGCATTCAGTACACGCAAATTATTTTCTCGTTAAGTTTTACTTTATGACCAAGCATGCTTTTCATAAAATGACACGCTTTATTCGGTGCTAAGGGGTGTGAACGCTAGCATGTATCTCCAGTATCATCCATGATCTGACACAATATCAAACCGAGCCTGCAATATTTTCAATTTTGACGTTTGGGGAATTCTTTTAAGAATCCTTTTCTTTCTATTTTAATGGTCGCTCGTACTTCGCCTAAGTAATTATAATTTTGATATACATGTACTGTAATTATAATAATTATATTCCTGTTAAATAAATAATAAATCATTATTCCAGCTCTTTTAGCTTAAAGGCTTGAATGCTTCTTTACCTATTGTCTGTCAATGGGCATAAGGGATGCTGAACTTTTCATTAACTGTCATGAACAGACTCAATCATACTGAGCCTATAAGGCTTTACATGGTTACTTTTCTTGCTCTGTATTCACTCTAACATACATAAGAAAAATCTGTTTTACCATATGCTTCCACAACCATGCAAATAATTATAGATACTTAAGTTATAAAAGATATGTACCTGTTTAGACATATGAAATTGTTTTACAGTAACATTGATTATATCAAAGTATACCTTTGTTTTTGTTACGCCAACTATAGTGTGATCACCACATCCTGGAAAGCAATGTCCGGGATCTCCGTTTATTTCAACAAAGGGATGTTCTCCGTTGTTTACAATGCTTTCCATCGTAACGCATCCTAAAATATATAACATATCGTTAATATATAGAACATTTATTGTAAAGTGATGCGATAAAAAATATATCTTAAGCCGCAATGTATCTTAATTGTTTGTTTAATCGGTATTTCCTGGAAAAAAACAAAATATTTTATGTTCTTCTTGAACTCCCGTGTAATAAAAAATCGCTTTACTTTAAGTTATTGTCATGGATTAACTTAAAGAATTAAATATTACAAATAATGTATCTCTAAGCACAGAAATGCATATGTATCTTTGTAAGTAAGGTGGCTAAATCTTAAGCAGCAGATTGATTTACCAGTTACAGACATAAAAGCTTCAATAAACAAGCCCATTTGAAGTTTGAAATGCAAATTAAAATTCAATGTTTAAACTTCTGCTTGTAAACAAGTCTTTTCTTTATATAGGAAAGCATAATCCATAACTGTACTAATATCTTTTCTATATCATTTTTTCCACATAATCATCTATTTATACTTGAAATATTTCATACAGATTTTAGATTTTCTTAGGATTTAACAATGTCTTTCCTGTACTACTCAATGTCTAAATTTCCAGAATTTTTTTTACAATTATTTTAATACTGCTTGATATATAATTTGTAATGGGGATTTTAGTTTGAATCATGAATAGTGTGCCGAGCCATATTTAGAATAGTGCATGTAATGGACGGGTTCATTTTCCCCCTAAAGAGTTACTGAGAAAAAAGGTCTGACTGAGTAGTGGACAAATGGTATACTCTGAGATACGGCATAATTATATGAAGATAATATTTATAATAGCAGCAAAGCCAATCAAGAATACATCAATTATCTTTGTTTATGTATCCATTAAAGTGCGAGTATTATTTACAATAGAATCAAAGACATCTAAATTGTAAAGTGCATAATTGGTTTCAGCTAAATAGTGTCGAAACAGTTGTAAATCAATAATACAGATGGCGCATCATTAAATTATTGGGGTTACCTTTTCGTGCCTGCCCTTACTATTAATATTTATTGACTTTTCTTTTATGAAATTTTGAAAATATTTAATAGTAAAATATTGCATCATTGATGTGTTCAATTGAAGTGACGTTTATAATTTTCATATATTTTTGCAAGAATAAATATACTTCTTGTTACAAATGAATTTTATCAAAATTGTATTTCTTTCCGTAAAAGTAATGTTGCTGTTTCAATAAAGATCCTGTTAGTTACATTGCCTATCATGATTCTTTGTCTATCATGATATATTCGTCATTTGGACACTGGAAACCCCAAATATTAGTGATAGTACCTGTATCAAATCAATCAAGATCTGAGGTGTACTACATATATACTAATATATCTCTACCTAGTGACAGTGTCAATTTTGCAATTTAGAAATATTTTATCTTAGAACTTAAAATACATATTAAGAGTTGTGGTGGTATATCATTCCCATTTAAAATTTTTTTTGGTATTTCTCAATTACTGGATGAGTTAATAATTCTGCCAGGGATTGTAATTTGATTCTGGGATCCGACCCAGTGAGGTTAAGGATCATGCTGATGAATGTCTCATTTCTTTGCTATTGTATATGTTACAAAATACATATTATGTTACATAAAAAACCTTTGTTCTTATAATAATTCATTGATATATTACCAAGCACAAAATCAAATATAGATGTTTTAATTATATTTTAGTCCTTTTTCATGTTATAAGCTTCACCTTCATGAAATTGATTCCGGTAACTAATTGTTTCCAAACTACGTTAGCTAGAGGCAGAAAGTCTCGTTCCTTACCAGGTGACTCTATAACAGAATTTGTTTTCTTTTCTGTATCTTATACAGCTGTTACGTACACTGTTTTCTTAATGTTCTCCTTCAGGATCTTCTAGCAATGGTGGATGTCATTCGATTTACATTTCAATAGTACTTCTTTTCAAATGTTGAGTATCAAATTTCATTAACTGTTGACGTTTTGCGTAAACCATACATCGCAATTTTCCATTAACTTTCAATCAGACGCCGAATTATACAATAAACAGGAAACAGGATATGACCATTTCGGAATATTGATAAAATAAAAATAATAAACGCTATATCTTACACGGAAAGAGTCTATTTCACGAAAGCAATGCGAATAGCCGGCTGGGAGGCGATTCCTAGCTTTTTTGGAAATACTTAAACTTAGTATTTTTTAAATTATATTTGCAACAGAATTTTAACAGTTTAGCAATTATTCTGTGCCATTCCAATCAGATTAAAATCTGGTCCCAAGTATCGCTTTAGGATCTGACGACCACCAATAGGTTGTCACCTGCTCGTGTAATTTCAAACAGCAATCTTCGGCTAGTTTTCACAATTCTAAAAGCGGTGGAGTTTCTTATTTTAACCGCTGGAAAACCAATACTAAGTAGGTAATTTTCATGATTTCATGAACAAACATGGCTTTGTCCATATAGCTGGCAGGTAAACTGGCAAAACAATCATGCCCATTAAAATTGAGTCTATTAATTCCAGATTATTTGTTGTAAATTACTTCAAACATTTTTGACAAAAATCAACAATTTGTTTTACTTTCACGGACAACTATATTTTGATACCTCGTCTAATGCTTATCTGTAAAGGACGGTTTGATTGCATGGCTAAAATAGCTTTCTTGGGAAATCCTAATCACAATGAAGGCGGAACAAATACGTTGGATCTACATGTAAGAAATAAGTAGATCTGAATTTAGTCAGATTGGAGAATTATACTTACAAATATCTTCTATACAAACATTTCGAAGTATTCTTAAAAGATCAAACAATAATTTTGCACAAGATATATTATAGAGTTGTATTCACTTTATTAACCTCAATATCGTAAATATTATTATTTATTTATTTACCTATGTACTCGAATACTCTGACTACCTGGTAATAACCCACCCATACTGTGTCATTGGACGGCAAATCTTCAAGACTTTCATTAAGGTAATAATTCATGTCAGTACCAACTTTTACTTTTGGAGTAGCCGGAATACAATCTTTATATGGACTTCCCCATGTGGTTTTCTCCTCTGTGATATAGAACGCACAGACGTTTACTAGAAATACAAACATGTATATTTTCCAATTAATTATAAATAAAAAAACACAGAGCATAGTTTATTGAATTGTAGAAATGAGAAATAAAGTTCCATCTGACTTTGCAAGTTTGCAATGAGTGATGCTCATATCAAAATGAGTCTTTTGATCCATTAATTTTGGATTTTTTTTGCATCACCACATACTGCTACATGTATTTTACAAGACGCATTTTAATGTTACAATATTAGACGAATTTGAGCCCCGTTATAAGTAAGAGGTTAATACACAGCAGAGTAGGACCGGAAGGTTAAAATCGGTCCCCAAAATGAATAACTGTCCGTCTCTGATGTTTATCAACGTCTTTATTACGCTTGATAGATATTTCAGTAGCGCTATTTTTATTTCTTTGATATTTATGGCGTTGAAATTCCTGTGTTGAAATCATAGTCAATTTTGTGACTATATGTTGTATATTAATTATTGAGTGTTTGAAATTATTTTTGTCCAATAGAATGCAGTATTTCAAATGAATAATAACACATTTACGTTAGTAAAGCGGCTACATTTAATCAGGCTTTTATAAAACAAAATGATTTCAAACACTCAATTGGCGACGCCGTTCTTGACCAATTAAATTTGTAAATGCTTACTAATTAACACTGACCTATACATAAATCCCCGAAAATGACATACAAAAAGAAAACTACACATCTAAAAAAATTTTTTTTATTTCAAACCGTATTTTATTACCATGCCAAAGTGAAGCAGATATTATTCCGAACAATAAAACTATGTTAATCATAATGCATTGTCTCCATAAACCAGCATTATACAACGTATTAATTAATCCCGTTTGTCACTTATAGAAATCGTATGGCTATTATACGTTCATACAAGCATCCGTTTATACTTAAAATGTAAACACTTTTCGCAACAAATTTCACAAGGCCTACTTTAAAATGTATTATCATTGAACAGCCATGTGTTCCTGTCTAGGGAAATTAGCTTGAACATAATTATGCATTTCCGAATATATACGTACATTGCATCAATTAAGTTCATTGTATAATTATACTACAAATCATATATTTAAAGAAAATGGTTATTACGGGAGACATAATCTTATATAAAAGATTTTCTCCTTTGAATAAATTGATTTACTGTGTCCAGTTTTTAACCACTTGTATATTTTGAAGATTCGAAAGAGAGACATGGACATGTAATACATATAGATAGAATGGAGCAAAGAAATCTATAAGGGTTTTGAAGTAATGTTAACATGACCATGTGAAACTAAAATGCAAAACTAAACATTAGTACGCAGAACTACGATTTATCTATGATAATGTGAGAGTGACGTTTCATTTTATGTGTACACAAAAGGTATGCATCATTTGACTGAAAGGCTAAAACTGGTCTTGCATAAAGTCGACGTTGTCAATTGACCTAAGCCAAATAATAAAAATAAAGCGGCTTGTTTGTTGTATTTTCATGTTTTTACACGGTGCCCCCTGATGCAAAACACAAATTAGTCTTCATAAAATTTCTTATCATAGAAAAAGGGTTAGTTTTTTATCTGTACAAAAATTAGATATTGTATTAGATATGTTGATTAGTACAGTTATGTTCACTTTCAAATTGACCTGTTATAAATAATGACATAACTAATAACTGTCTAAGCCCTTTTTATACAATATATAAATTGTTATTTTGATGAAGACTGAAGATGAGTATGTAAGTTTTTTTTTCTTATTTGTTTAATTAGAAATTAATCTACCTGTTAATTAAAAAAATCTAAAAGTATCTGTCACGTTTTAGAAGTGTTCACTATTTAGGGGAGAAAATGTGTAAGCCGACAGATAGCTCAATCGCTAATGTCGAGGTACATTATTCTGTGGGTCACAGGTTCGAGTTCTGGTCAAGCTGAAAGTTTTTCTCATGCTATGACTGCATATAAACCTGAGTTTAATTCACTATGCTCTGTAAACATCATAAATTTAAGGACACAAATCAATATAGTGGGGAAATATGTTGTGGTTCAGAACTGTTCATTATTAATTTTAAGAGAAAATGTGTAGCTGGCCGGATAGCTCAGTTGATCTTCTGACAGTCATGGGTTCGAGTCAAGGTCAGGCAGTTTCAGTCAGGGTTTAGAAGTGGTTTTTTAACTGACACATGTTTGATTCATTTAACAGATTGTATTAAATGGACAAAGGCAGTATTGTATGCATGATACTTTTAGATCTACAAAAGGCATTTGATACAGTTGATAACACTACACTGCACATGAAGAAAAAGCATACAAATACGATTTTCAATTATTTCAAAGTATATTTCTTAACTATCTTTGCATATAATTCTGTCTAAAGTGTCCCAGCTCATTCATGTAAGAAATTCAAATGTTATGTTTTAAGCCTTTTAAACCTTAGTGGAGTCCCTTTAAGTATTTAGGCGTCGCCTTTGATGCTATGCTTCAATGCTTTTCTTGTATATTTAATGTATTTGTACAAATGAGCTACCTGTGAGCAAATGGTTAGTCTGTATGGATGTGAACTGCCTCTCCACTGGTGGCCTCTTTTAGGGTAATTAGTCATGTTAGTTTTTTAAACGTCTATAGTAATGCCTAGCACAAGATTTTTAAATAAGCTCTTAGATTTAAAAAAGTTTTCCCGTACAAGTTAACCAATTAAACATTAAATAAGAAACCTAAAGGGTGGGGATAATCTTACCCGAAGGGTTATTATCTATTTAACTTTAGCAGAAGACAATAAGGTTAAGCTATATTTAAAATATTTGCAAGTTTTGGGCATTTTAGTTCCAAGTATAAAGTTACAATTTGCACTCAAAATGGTAAAAAATTGTCAATATCTTATTATCATATACATGTATTACTAAATAAGTTACGAAGAAAATACATTGATTAGGTCGCAAAAAACTTGATTATATTTCATAAAACTATATTGTTATAGATCTGTGTAATAATTAAGTACCAAATATGAAAAAATCAAATTTTCCGCGTTTATTCACGTACATCGGCGTAACCTCATAATTTAACCGGCTTGAATATTATTTTATCAGCTTATTTTCACTTATTTATGACACCAGAATCACTTGCCTACCAAAAATTGAAATTATACAGTGTATTATGCATTGTTGTACTTATAAGAGTCGACATAAGCCAAAATCACGCTCAAAGCGGTGGTCAAACGATCATTTTCACGAATGTTAATGAAAAGAATACAATTTTGTGACAATAATCTTGATCAGGGATAAAGAATTATGTCTTTGCATTCGTATTTTTTCAGTTTGGTTAAATAAAAAAATATATTGACCAGTTTACTCACCGCGTTGGTAATCCTGACAGGTATCCGCCATTTATTGCACATCCTGCTTTACTTTTTGCACGAATCGTGCGTTATTTTCACATTCCGGCGTTAATGGATATACACTGTGATTTTGTTTCTATTTAAAATATTTCGTATGTGATTCTTTCATTTAATTAAACTGCCAACATATGCATATGATTTCAATATTTCAAAATTTTAAACGTAAAATTCAATAATAGGCCATAATTCTTATGATTGTATTTCTAAGTTTCCTAAGATATGATATTTTAATTTCGGCCGAGTATCTTTTTAAAGTAACTTAATATTTATCATTGAGTATATTTCTTTATATAATTTTATGTGTATACTATGCTGCTCGGTCATTACACCGGCTATATATAGATTAATGTAAACGAAATAAACGTTGGTCTACCTGTCACCGTCTTTAGTTCGTATCTGTCTGTGTGCCTGCGCGTGCGTGTGCGTGTGTGAGTGAATGTGTGTTGCTTCGTAAATAAAACATATGACCGTCTGGTTACCACAGTGAAAACCGACGCTGGAAACTTGCAGTATTAATACAAGAATTAGTATAAAAGTAATATAATCAATAATTTATTGATAAAATGATTAAATATATACCTAACATATGCACACATTGATACTAAGGGAACGGTACATCCCTGCCAAAAAAAGCCTTTTGGAGTGACAGGATTCAACGCGAGACAGTTATGTACCTCATTTTGTGCATTGAGTATTGCATTAGCTGTCACTGATATAAACAAATATTCCAACATAATTTTTAATTCTAAGTGTCTCAACCTATGTTACTGTCCGGGTTTGGAGTCGTAGATTAGCAGTAATATAATCAAGAGAAGCTGGTGCACGTGACAAAAATATCCAGCTAGCGTACTGAACGGCGGTGGTTCTACTCAGCTGCCCGTTCGTACCTGAAATAATGCACAGAAAGGCACCTGAGATTTTCCCTCTCCAGAAAAGCTGGAATGTTGCCATATGACCTATACTGTGTCGGTGTGACGTATAACCCAATCAAAACAAACAAAAACAAACAAATGTGACTAATAACTCATCCGCATACTGTGTAATGAGACAGTTTGAGAAAATTATCATTTCTTTCTAACATGATAATAGAATGGTTATATCTTGTCAATGGCTTTCAACGTAAACATACTTTGATAAAGCCATGCTGAATATTTACTTCACTTCATAGTTGAATGTGGATATGCGTAATAAACAAGTACAAATAAGATGGATTCTTATATTGCGATCATAGACGACCTGACAACCACTGAATATTCTGGAATACATAGGTTTAAAATGGTTCAGCTTAACTGGACCATACTAATCTGTAAACTATATTTCTAAACATAACTATGATACATCTCGGTGACATGGAATAATATTAAGTAATACTCTTGATATATCGAAGGAACTTACCCCTTGGGTTCATTTTGTAAATTGATAGGAAAACATAATTCATAACCGTACTATCATAACCACACGAAACAATAGGGTGGTTACATTTATGAGTACATCCGGTCTGAGTATGATTTGTTAGCATTATGTCTACACCCAGGCAGTAACACTGAAATACAAAGCCATTGTAAGGATGTGACTGGTATAAGTCAGAATTTAAGCACAACTTTAATTGTCAGTTTATAGATGAATAAAAACCGTATATGTAAAACATCTATATGTAAAAGATATACATGTACGTACTTTATACATACTAATGTCTTTTCCGAGATTTTCCTTTTGTAAAGCAACTAGATGCTACAAAATTGTGTATATTTCAAAAAACTGTTCATTTACTACAGAAAAGATATTTTCTTTCATATGATATGGATATACAGTATAACTTTGTTCCAATTAAATAACTGCGTTCTAATTTATTCTAAAACAAGATTTAAAATAAAAATGTATCAAGAGATTTCTAATTTATATAACATATTCATTTAATTAAGAAGCGCACTAAAATATGAACACTACATGTATTTTATATACAACCTTTTCCATTCTTTAAAAAGTTAATGGACGTAAATGTATTTTAGGTTTAAACAATTACAATTCAATTGTTTACTCGTTAAAAGCACATATCACTTTACTTTGGGACCATAAACCGATCTTCACGTAATAGCACGTTTAAGAAAGTGCTAAGGGCGTGAATGGTATCATGTACTTTCAGTATCGTCCGTGAAAAGGCACAATCAAACCTAGCCTGCAACATTTTCAATTTTGGCGTTTAGGGCACTCTTTAAGGAATCCATTTTTTCTATTTTAAAGGTCATTCGTACTTCGCCTAAGTGTATTTTATTTCTGTTAAATAAATTATAAATCATTATTCCAGCTTTTTTAGCTTTAAGTTTTGAATACTTCTTTATCTATTGTCTGTCAATGAGCATGAGGTATGCTGAACTTTTCATTAACGGCCATGAACAGACTCAATCAAACTGAGTCTTCAACTTTCTGCATGTAATAGAAAGATCATCGAAACACGAATACGAGGGGGCATAGCCCTAGAGTATTAATCAGATTGCCGAGTGTTTTAATG